CCACTATACAGGTCGAACCCAAGCGCAAAATCATCCCAGTTCTCTAAAAACCCAAAACCCTCTTTCCTGCACCAAGACTTCAGCCACGCATTGACCTCTCTAATCTCCCACTGCCTTTCTGCTGTAGCGCGCGGCACAGCTTATATTTCTGAAAATATTACCTTGAAGGTCCTATTCTTTAGCTAACATCCTAGTTCCTGGAACTCATTCTTTAGGATCTTCCATTTTCCTCTGACTTTGTCATTGGTACCAGTATGGACCATGACAGCTGGGTCATCCTCCAGTCCCTCCCAATAATCCTTCCACTCTGTCGGCAACATCCCAGACCCGAGCACCCAGGAGACCGCAAACTGTCCGGTTGAGACGATCAGAATGGCAGATTACCCTATCTACTCTCTTAATAATAGAGTCCCCTACCACTACAACCTGTCTAGCATTCCTTACCCTCTCATGTAAAATCAACCATTTAAAAATCAATAGAAAAATCACTTAGTATCTTAGAGTGGGCTCATTAGGCTAAGTTACTAAACTATGCCGACATCAAGACTAGGTTATGTCAGTCAGTGTAAGCCACTTGTGGGGAGGATGTGTGAGGTAAGTACAGTTCACCCTATGCCACAAGTGGGCCATGGTTCAAAGTCCAGCTCTGTGCCGCTAGCAGTGGGATCACCGTCCCAGGAGCAGGTCCAGACGGTGTGGATGCGAGGGACCTTCTCCACTCCAAGACGTTTGCCTCTCCATAGCACAGTAGCGTCCACATTCAAGGGGGCATGCTTGTGGGCGGATGGTGGGCGCCTTGTCCACCTGCCGTGTCCTTTGTCTCCGGTTCCAAGCCTTCGCGGGTTCGAGCTCTTGGTTTCTCAGCTTCTCAATCTGCTCTTAGCATGGTTTTGGGGCTTAGGGGTCTCCGCCTTCCAGGTGTCTCTCTGGACGCAAGGGTTGCTGACCGGAGGCTTCTACGGATGGGCCCCCGTCTCGGGAGATAGACAGGTGGTGGAGTCTGCAGCTTGCGGTAGCTTTGTTGCCGTAGGAGAGTGTAAGATAGCTCGCTGAGCGATGCAGTGCCAGAATTTGCGGCATATGGCGTTAAAACGCGCCTCAAAGAGGGTCTTCAATCAGACCAATCAGTATCTCCTCATTAATTGAATCTCTATGAGGAAAGTTCAGTTTCTGCATGCAGAGGGAGGAGATACTGAATGTTTGGATGCATTTTAGGCAGCCATGACCCAGGAAGGATGTCTAACAGCTATCTGAGGAGTGGCCAGTGAAGTTATCACTAGGCTGTAATATAAACACTGCATTTTCTCTGAAAAGACAATGTTTACAGCAAAAAGCCTGAAGGTAATGATTCTACTCACCAGAACAAATTCAATAAGCTGTAGTTTATTCTGGTGACTGTAGTGTCCCTTTAACTTATTTTTATATAGGTTTTGAAAATATTTTACTATAATTAGTAAAATAACAGATATTTTTGCTCTCATTGCTTAGGTGTGGAATCAGAATGGCAAAAATCCTTCAATAACATTTCAATATACTCTACTGCGTAGACCACACTCCCGAATTACCCAGCCAATCTATTACAATTTCCCTGACTCTGAGAGTGAGGAAAGTAAAGAGTCTGATGACGAGTTTACACCCCGCAATGCCAGCTTGAGCAATAAAGAGAAGGGACGATGGAGAGGAGATATGCAGGACTTTGGACATCGAGATTCCACAGAAAAGCTAACACTGATTAAAGGACAGGAGACCAATGAGGTTTATGAGACACGACAGTCAGGAAACTGTGATGGCAAAGGCAAACCAATAAAAGGTATTTTGTCTCATTTTGATTCCATATTCTGCTACTTTAACATACAGCAAAATAACACATCATTTATATATTACCTATACAATGTTTGGGGAGAATTGTCTGTAAACATCTTCAAATATAAATAAGTCAGTATAGATATTTTCTATTTCCCTAGAACCAAGCACAAATAGGACTTCTTACCTGTCACATATTGGAGAACAGGACTCAGCATCTAAATTTAACTCCAAAGAATTTCTTCCGGGAAATGTCATCTTCAACCAACTGGCCAGCAAAACCTCAGACTCCAGGGATCCCTTCAACAATATAACAAGGGGCGTCATCTTTTCCCAGGGACAACCACTAAACTCGGTTGAACCGAACCTGGACAACCTTTATGTAGACTATGAAGAAAATGAGGATAATGCTGCTTTTGACCTCAACATTACCTTCTTGGAGCTTAGCATCGACAGAACAAGTAACACATCTGCAGAGACACAGCTCAGCAACTCAACTGTCTCAGCTGGGAACTCATCCTTCAATAGGACACAGAAAGCAAGGTCAGTGATATCTAAATATTGAAATAAGCATGATGGAGGAGAGAGGGAAATGGGAGAAAGGTTGGTTATAACCTATGGACCCCATATCAAATTAAATGTTTTATAGCATCAGTAACGCTGCAGTAGGGGTTACATTGTATGGAGGCCTCAACCTTGATAGCAAATGTTGTGAATGAACATCTTTCCTGTCTTCTGGTGATGGACAGAACAGAGCACCTTCTTAAAATAAATAAAGTTTAGATCAGTGTGTACATATTAAAGTAAGACTAATGCATGTGAGATATTTACACAGCTAAAAATCAGCTATGTGTTGTGCTGTTTTTTTAATTTAAATTTATAGTGCATGCCCTGTGGAGCACATTAGAGCAAACCCTGAGGTACCAAATCCATTGGCTCATGTGAGCATATGGAATTTTTAAAGGAAATGCCGAGTGTGCGTTCACATTTACAGCATTTCTCTGGAAACATTAGTGAGGAAAAATCCAACTCCAAACAACAGCAAAAAACATGACTGGGCAACATAGAAAGATCATGGAAAACTAGAATTATCCTAATCAATAAATAACTTTATTGGCACTTGTTAGACAGGTAAAGGGAGCGCATTACAATGGGGCAGGCAAATACAAACCTTACCAAAGGTTGCTCCCCTGTGATGCTGCTCATTGTGCCTTTCTAAAAAGTACCAATAAAGTTATTCATTGCTCAGGATAACTCTAATTTGGCATGCTTTTTCTCTGAAGCCCAGTCATGTTTTATCATTGATCTCCTGAAGTATGAAGATAAATGAATTGCAATCAAAGGGATCTCTAAGATAAAGAAGTATATAATACATCTTAATACAGTAGCTACAACAGTATTCACTAAACCAGAATTTCTGCACATTTAAGCCAAATTAAAAAATTTCACCAAGTCACCAAGCTTTGTTTGCAGCTATTTTAGCCTAGAATGTATTTTTCCTCCTGTGAAATCACCATTCCTGGTTTAGGGAATAACCCACCTTACATGTCTTCAGATTCCTAGAAGTAGTAATTAACTAATGGACAGACGCAGTTTACGTGTTAAAATTCCACTTCACTAAGCCCAGGCGGACAGACTGAAATCCCCAGAGTTCCAAGGATTACGCTTTGCTACAAAGACCTTTCTTGAACTCAGACAGCCCAAACAGCTGAATACAGGCCTTTGACTGCCTTCCAGAAAGTAAAAAGTGTTTGGGATTTTTTTCTCTCTCATTTTTTGGCTTTGACAACTCAAGCAACTATCTGTAGGATCCATCCCCAAGTGGAAGAATTAGTTATATTTTAAAAGGCTGAAGTGACTTTTCCCACCCCAAGCTTGACAGGATGAAAAAAAACATGATGTTAACCCCTAAAGGACCAAACTTCTGGAATGAAAGAAAATCATAACATGTCACACATGTCATGTGTCCTTAAGGGGTTAAAGGAGATAGTAGAATATTTAAACATCCTAGTCCCCTCTCAGGAAGAGCAGAGACAAGTAGAAAGGTAAATAAATCTCACTTGTCAAGCAAATATGACTGGACTAAATATTATCTATATGTTGTGTTGACTATATCTCTTGATAATGTTCTGGATTACGGTTTCCTTATTCAATATTACCTGCTTCTGGACTAAATCCGTTAAAGCTTCTTAATGTTTCTTTTTCCGTTTCGTTGTCATTATTTTTCTTATATTCTGATTTGTTTCTTTTGCAGTATGATTAAAATAAAATTTTGCTCTTTCTGACTCTTCTACATAAATGCTGTCTGGTTAGTGTTACTGCAGTGATCACTAACCTTGGTACCACAGATATTGCTGAATTACATTTCCCATGATCCTAAACCAGGCACTGAGCATCATAGGAATTTCAGAAACATCTGAAATTTCAGTGTTAGCCTTCACTGCCCTAGTGTTTCTATCTTGCATCACCAACTGAGCATTCTCATCATTCTCTTTCTGCTCATGCTGTGTGAGGGGTTTTGAGCTTGCATTTATGTTTTCCTTGTCTTTTTTTTTAGTGTCCTGTGATACATAGTGATTCATTTTCTTTCAGTAAAAAAAGTGTTTTGTTATTTGTTTGTTCCTTATAAAAAAGCAGTACAGTGTTCAGGGAAACAAATAGTTTAATCTAATCTTTAAAAAAAAAAAAAAAAAAATCTAACTAAACCGTTAGTTTTAAATTAAAATTGCTGTACTGAAACCTTGGCTTAAAAACATTGAAGAAAATGGATGATCTGTTTCATCAGAACAATCTGGTCCTTAAAACCCTACTTCAGCACATAATGACTAACTCGTTTAGCATTAGCCAAGCCCTGCAGAGCTGCTCTTGGTTGTGAAACAGCAGAGTCTTATTTAGTATTGGGAATGGGTTTTACAAAGACCAAAAGATGACGACAGCATGGGTTGTCATTGGTATTTTATGTGCTAAGATCACAGACAATTTCAATATTAATTATAATATTATTATAATTGTTTTTAAATAGTTCATAAAGTGGTTGAGAAGACCCATTGCTCTGCGTTTCAGTAAGAATTCGGAGGCGTTGAGAAAAAAAACACACAATTGGATTAAACACTGAAACGATTTCACACGAGACATTACAGAGCCTTCCATGAACCACAAGTGCGCAAAATACTAACCTCAAGCCGGGCGAGTTGCAAATGGAACAAATGAGGTTACAAGAGAGCTTCTGCTGCTTAGAAAATGAGGTTAGCTCTGTTACTGCAGATATTACCTAGATTGATTAAGCTTCTCAAGACTCATACGTGAATGGCTATTGATTAATTTTCAAGGTGTCAAAAGGGGAATGGTCAGAAATGTCCCCTGACGATTTATCAGAATATTTCCCTCTCCCCCCCACCCCGGCTATTTTTCAAAAGGGAAATCCACTCTGTGACATTAGTAGGTCACTCCATTTCTACAAGTTAAACACAAATTGGGAGTAGAAATGATTAATTGGAAGTAAAATTGCTCTATTTGTAGGAGACAAGCATCTATCCAGACTTCACTCATTTTTTAAATGCCAAATCGTCCTGGCTTTCCTTATGTGTATATCTATATCCATCCCTGCCATACCCATTTCATAAATATTGCTATAAAAATTAGGTTATTTATCTTGTCAGCAACCGAGGATAAACATCCTCTGCCACTTAACAAGCTGTGGATTCCCTTTGGCAGCATTTCTAGTGAAGGTTTTAGGTTTTAAGCTGCTCACAGAATTAGGATAATGTATGCAGGTAATACACTCACAACTAGGGCAAAGTTCTAAAAGTGGAGCAATCACCATAGAAACCGTTGGAATGTCCCTACTGATTGCTCCACATTCAGAACTTTGGCACAGAGACTATACATGTGGCCGACTGACTCTATGAACTGGAGTACCGGTAATCCATTTTGTTTAGTAATAATGTACTTGGTGATATAGCACAGTAATAACTTATAACTCCAATTATTTAAGATATATTATTTTCATGAAACAAGGCACAAGGTGCCACCATTAAGGAGTGTATTTACATATCAGCATTAATATTGTACATGCAATAACTTGTTGTTTGTGCTTACTGGCTGAAGTCCCTTAATTTATTAATTACTGGTGTATTTACTGTACATATAATGTGTAATTATCCAAAATACACACACATTTAGTAAACAAAAATAGGTCGTTTCACAGTCAGAGAGATATATAATTAGATGTACTGACACAAAAGACCTACTGACAATTAACAATTGTCTAGCAAGACTTGTCCACTGGCATAACAACTTGTGCACTGGAATAATGCTTTTTGTTCTGTTCCATGTGTGTGGTACAGAATCAAAAAACAAGACAGTGGGGGCATGGCTTTGGGGCTCAGATGGTTTGGGTACTTGGTACTCTCTTCCTGACCCAGCCATTATCTGAGCCTTCAAAGCCAAAGTGCAAAATCACTGGTCATGGTCAGGCTCTGCATGTCAACGTGTTAAGGCCGGGTTTTCTGTACATGTTCTGTGATCAAGAGGGTCTTCTTCATTCACACACAAGATTGTTGTCCAATAATCCTCAATGGATATTAACTTCCAAAGACCCTATCTAAGACACAGTATACTTATACAACGTGTATTGTTTCATTGTTATATGTGTACTGTACATGCATGTTAACCCCTCAAAGACCAAGTTGTACACTTTGCTGTGATAGCAGTTTACTAGATAAAAACCTTATATATTTTGCCAGTATTGTATGAACTCCTTATTTAGCAATGGCAGTTCAGTGCAGCCCCTGCCATTATTACTTTAGTAGGTCCTAGAATACTAGAAGATTGTTATGTTGGTATAGACCACTGTTGGTCCTTAAGGGGTTAAGAATAGTGTTAATTTAATACACCACCTACTGCTAAAAGCAAAGCCAATAATACTGTTGAAAATGTGAGGGTTTGAATTCATCCATGTTTACATGGATTGCAGTTCAAGGAACCTAAATATTTCTCAGACACAGTTAAAACTGGTGAACAGATAGAGATGAATGAATATCTTTCACTAATTAAGTATTGCAATGAGTCATAACTATGATATTTCAGCAGTTTCCTTATATCAGTTATTACAACATCACCATATACTACAGTCGTCAGGACTATGGCAGTTGATCACACACTGTCTCCAAGATTCTGATATTTTACATTCTTTGAGTGGGATTTAAATGTCACATGTGACTAACTGTCACATGTGAATCTAGCTAAGAATGAATCAAAGATATGCTGTTAGTTGTTTATTCCTTAAACATTTTTTTAAAATATATTTTTTGTTAGTTTAGATTTGCATGAAATTCCTTCTGTCCGTAAACAGGAAGGCACTCAATGCAAATCTCTTGTTGTCCCATGATTCCCTATGCAGGGAAACAACTTAACATGATCCCACTCCCTAACTTGCACAGCAGAGGTAAGTGTGTTTTTACTTAACTCTGCTGTACTGACATCCCCAGGAAACATACAAAACTGTGTTCTGGGGTGACTAAAAAGGAATTGGTCAAAAAAAAAAGTTCCTATATGTGACTGTATCTGTAGCACTAATCAGTTTATATAATATACACCCCAGGTGCTTAGTGATATAGAGACACTTTTCTAGCCTGTTTGACTGAGTCCTTGAGAAGAAATAGAGATGAAAAGAGCCATTTTGTTATATACTGAACTGTTTCTACATTGGGTATTTTTATCCCATTCTCTCTATTTCTAGACAGTGGAAGCTCTCCTTCTAACCAGGCTGGGGATTCTACTTGGGGATCAGGACAGGTATGTTTAAAAACCCCAACCAACACTAAAACTTCAAAACACCCCCTCCATAAACAGCTATATATGTATGTACATGTCTACATATACCAATGGCCACAACTAGCAAAAGTCTTCCTGAGCAACAAGCAATATATTAATGTTACTCGTGCCTTGAGCTGTGACTCAGCAGTGCCATTAAAGCATTCATCTCTTTCTTTCTTTCCATTTCATTCTTGGTAGAAACAGGTTAAAGTTACTGCGGAAGGTGCAGGGTATGAGCTCAGCTGACATGTATCGATGGAAACTTTCTTCCCATGAGCCATGCAGTGCCACGTGTACCACAGGTTGGTAAACAGACACACGGGAAGTCCCTCTGTCACCTGTGATTTTTGTTTAATGTTTTCATTAATAACTACAGAATTTTACACTGTATTAACATTTTTAAACGGTTCAGCATTTATTAAAACAGGTCACATGTAATCCATAATTTTTTCTTCTATTGCATTATATAGCTAATACATTGAAACATATCCATAAAACATTTTAAACAATAAATAAAAAATATTGCTCACATTTAAAGTTCTCTCTGGACACACATATATCATTCATCTAGTGCCTATTGTTGTTGAGAATACGTACTGCAGCATGGAAATCAAATGGTAACTGCAACCGAAAAACAGCTTACGTCCTTTAGAATCGCGTAGGAACAACTGCACCTTGTTCATTTGAATAATTTTAGTTTTTGTTTTGTTTTTTTAAATAGTATCAGAACCTTCAACCTCCAGGATCTCATTTTGACCCACTGAGGCTGTATGATACCCTCTCAGCTTCAAAACCTCGTTCTTTTAGCAGTATTGGTGTTCCAGAGGCTGGGAATGCATGGCCTTGTTCACTTTTCCAATGAAAGTGTTAATGCAGAAAGCATATTGCATACTTAATCCGTTTGTCAGGTGGTTTGTCTGAGAGAACACAAAAAGTTCGATGTAAAAAGCAATTCTGGGTCAGAGTTCTAAATGTGGAGTGGCCACCATCGAAACCAAAGGAATGTTCCTGTCATTTGGGCCATATTTAAAACTTTGTTTGGAATTGCTTTTTATGGAGAAATCCTAAAGCACATTTATCTTTACAGGCTCTGTTTCGCCTAAGGTTCATTATAAGCCAAAAGCTAAAGATCGTAAAGACACATTCCCTTTTTTCGCATAGCAGGTTGTGCCAGCGACCACATGACAATTGTGAATTCAGTAGCACTTCTATACAGTAATGCCTAGCAGTTGCCTTTCTGAGCACATACCACACCTTCCCTCAAAAGGCTTGCTATTATCTGAAAGTTGTCTTGAAGTTCCGGATGCCAGCTTGTTAGCATATCCACATAAAACATTTTTCCAAATGCCTTCTGCAGGACCGGCATGTGTGAAAAGCTTTGTGATCTCTCACTGCTCCCCAGACAGACATTACAAAAGCACACTCCCACAAATGTTCAAAGACCCTACACTATCACAAACATTTTAAAGTCACTCTTGCTCAATCTTTAAAATGCCAAACTTTCAAAGGTCACACTCTTGAATTTTCATAGGGCACATTCTCTCAAACTTTCAAATTACATAATTTCTCAAACTTTCAGAGGTCACTCATGAACTTTTATAAACCATACTCCCTCAACCATGCTGTGTTTAGTAAACGGCAAACCAAACTCATAGATCACATATGACAGGGATGTTGAACTGTGACCCACCCATCAGATATTTTTTGGACTAGGTGTGAAATATTTTTCGTATTTTAACTGAGACACTGCAGTACACATGTACCATATTTACTCACAGTGGAATATGCAGTTATAGGGTAAAATATAATCCTAATTGTAGACTAATTTATTCTACTAAATTACATTTTGCAATATATTCTTTATAATATCAGTAATGGTTTCTTTGGTATAATAAATGTCTCAAGGAACCTTTTCAGCGCTGGCTGTTTATGTAGCTGTGAATTATGGTAGCAAAATTTGGATATCCATTATCTTTTTATTGATTAATTTGCCTCCACTAACAGGAATAATGTCAAGCTACACTATGTGCGTGCGATACGATGGGGTGGAAGTGGACGACACTTACTGTGATGCTTTGACCCGCCCAGAGCCTGTGCATGAGTTCTGTGCAGGAAGAGAATGCCAGCCAAGGTACACGGCAACTTCTGAGCAGTACTTCACACAACCAGCCATAAATGGCCAAAAATATCATGTTAGAAAATTTAAGGGAATAGTTCATGACAGTTCCCCATAAGGTAACGTCTTAGTTTATTTAGCAATTATCACAGAATCTTGGCTGCTTGTCATGTTACAAGCCTCTGCAGACCATGTACTGTCTCACTCACTAAGGTCATTAACACCGTTCCACATGGCATTTCAAATACCCATATTAATAAATCTCACATTTCCTTGCATGTGAAAGATTACCCTATTTAAATATTCAGGATGCAAATGATCTCCAGGGAAACTTGGTTATGATTTCCATTTCCTCTGTTTGCTGATGGAACATGTCAAACCGAACGATGGGCCCATAAGCATTTTTTTAACATTGTCACGGCAAGTCTTTGATGTCCCCTTGCTAGGTGTAGATCCAAAACAGCAGTAGCTGTTTAAATGCCCATTGAATTTGACTAAAATGAGGCAGGCTAAGTCTCCCATAACGCAAGTCAGCATGGGAGAGAGGCAGATGTGCTACTGGTGTGGTATGGAGTAGCAGGTCCATTTAAATGTAAATAATACTCAGAGTGGTGACTGACAAAAGGTTTGGACTGCATCCAGAATGGATGCTAAGAATTTTTCACATCTTCTGAGCCATTTAAGGCTTAAATCTGTCCTACTAAGCAGGGGCAATACACAAGGGTGGGCCCATGACTACTACTTGTCCCCTCTTTATGCCACTTGCTGTACTGTTGTCAGTTTACTTTAGCACTTTATCTGTTGCAGATAAATCTCATATGCATTAACCATCTTGATATGCACCTTGTTATCACTAGAGCATAGATATAGGGTTATTCAGTAAACTAAGAATTGTGTAACATTTGCTAATTGCAAATTGTAAGCCAGAATATCCACATTGAACAATTTTTACAAACGTAAAAAAAACATATTTTTCAACTCAACTATTTTGATCTAAAATGTGCAAATCTTGTGTCAATTCTCCACATATATTGAGAATAAACCCTGATCTTTTATGGCTCATATTTAAGTTTTGGCATGTAAAAGTGAAGATTAAATGTTTGAAGAATAAAAATAATGTCCTGTATGACTGAGTATTTTATAAATGTCTGCTTTTAATTTTAAAAATATATATTTTCGTCCACAATTTACCATGACGTATTGGCATTTTAAGTTAAACATGTGCTCAAAGTGGGTTCTTAGTTATGAGGTTAAAAAAAAACAGAATAAACACAGGCAAACTGAAATGCATCTTTTTGTGACAGATGGGAGACCAGCAGCTGGAGTGAGTGCTCGCGGACCTGTGGGGAGGGCTATCAATTTCGAATTGTTCGATGCTGGAAGATGATATCCCCTGGTTTTGATAGCTCTGTGTACAGTGACTTGTGTGATTCCGCTGATATCACCAAACCAGATGAGAAGAAGGTCTGCAGAAACCCAACATGTGGACCCCAGTGGGAAATGTCAGAATGGTCCGAGGTACGTCGATATCACACTTCACTCTGCACTATATTGTAAGCTGTGGGGGCTATTTACTGTATAACGAAATATAGGTGCAAAGTAGCTGAGTAAATTGATTCCGCTCAGTGCCTGATTTTCCATTAGGCAGAGTAGGCACTTGCCTACGTGCTCCAAAGCCTGCAGGGACATACTATACACACCAGAGCAACTACATTGTTCTGGTGACTAGTGTCCCTTTAACTCCTCTTAAAACCTAAACACCTCATGTACCCGAATATTAGATTCAACCCAACTCTAGCCCTAAACTTAATAATGCTAGACAGCATTCATACTACAACTTTAACTTCTCTCAAGCTGTTAATCTTTTTAACACTAAACACCCTGCAACAAGCATGTCAAACTCCAAGGCTAACACGGGCCAAATAAACAAGGTTTAAGTTCATATGAGCCGCAATAAAAACAAAAACTTCAGTTTCATAAAAATTTAGGTTTATTTAGAAAAGTACAGAATAAAACAGTTGCCTAACTGACACTGGACGTCCTCACGCTCCTAGGGCTATAAAGTAAACAAAAGAGCAAATTTATTTTAAGGTACATTTGCATATAACCAATGTTTCAGTCCAACTACCTTGACATATTAAGAAAAGTTTGGTAATAGGACTGAAATGGTGAATGAATGCTGTTGGACAGCTGTAGAAAACAAATTACATTATCTTGATTTTATTTTGAAGTCTTGAAGTCCTATGGGTGTGTTCTGCACTTGATGATCTCAGACATGTGCATGTGTGTCAAAAAGCTGCATGGCCAATCAGCATCTCCATGGGGAGCGTTCAGCGTCTCCATGCCAACCCAATATAATACACTGCCCCTCCCCATTCTAATACATTGCTCCCAAACCAATACACTGCCCCCCCTCCCTCCACTCTTATATGCTGCTCCCTCCAGCGAATCTAATTCACTGCCCCTTGATCTAATACACTGCCCCCTTCACCCCTCAATCTAATGCACTGTACCCCTCCCTCCACTCTAATTGAATACACTGCCCCCACACCCACCACTCTAATTTAATACACTGCCCCCCTCCCTCCTTGATTTAATACACTGCCCTCCCCCCAATTTAACCACTGCCCGCTCCCCCACTCTACTTTCACCACTCTAATACACTGCCCTTCCTCACCCAATTTAATAGACTGCTCCCCTCCTGCTACAAATTAATACATTGCCCCCCTTCAAATTAATACACTGCCCACCCTCCTCAATTTAACACACTACACAGGTAGGTCCCCTATACCCCTTTTCTCCTACCTTAAGATGAGTCCCTCGTTCTCCAGTTACAGCCCTGCTCCTCTCTGCTCTAGCAGGCCAGAGGCTCCTCTGGCACTGCGAGCAGAAGGGAAGAGGGAGAGGCTGGCCTGCTCTGCGGACAGACAGCCACTCTGTGCTCTTGTGGTCGCGGAAGCACGCGATCGGCTGTGGGAGGGAAAACAAGAATCAGTTGCAGCCACAACACAAAGCGGCCAGAGGGCAGGTGGGCCACAAAGATAATCATTCTGGACCACAAGTTTAACATGCTTGCCCTACATAACTAACGCAATTAACTCTTTTCTAATCTGCATACACTTACAGATTCAAACCATATATTACACGCAGAGCAGGAATATGCACATACATACGTATATATATATATATATATATATATATATATATATATATATATATATACATACATACATATATATGCAATTGTCAAATATATGAATATAATTTTTTAGATGGTTTAGGCCTGCAATTTCCAGTTATTATACTCACTCTATCTGCCATTTTGGGTAGGGGAGCAGGGGGTGCCTTAGAATGATGTGCCTAGAGGCACCTGACATTTAAACCCAGCCCTAATTGAGCTGGAGAAAATATTTGGCTTAGCTGTTCTGGGCAATATGTCGGTTCGCCACAAAAAAGATTTGTGCATATATTAACCGTTGTCATAATAATGAATATAAGGGAAGAAAGTAAGACCGTAAGGTCCTAAACGGAAGAATAGTACAACAAAGAAAGGGAGCCCTACCTTTATTAATCCTAATGATGGGAACAATATAAAATGAACAGGAAAAATAAGGGAGACCAAAGGAAAAGGAAATGGTGTGTCAAAGCACATCCAAAACCTAACTACTAACCTACTCAGAATAGCCAGGCTATGTCAAAATCCCATGCAAGCCTAGGTAACTATACATAGAGTGTAGGGAGTAGAAAGAACAGGTAATAGGAGGAAAATCACTGCTAGGCTAATTAAAGGATGAAACTAAGTGCATCCTAAGAGGGGGAAGAGAAGACTCCCAAAAACCCAAGCCCAGTTCTAGATCACTATAAAGAAAAAAAGAAAAAATTATATAATGAATGCTTATAGTTGTGTACCTCGGCACTGTGATGTAACACACAGATGCCTACCTGTATACCTCTCCCTGCCTGTCCAAATAGCTAGTATGCATAAATTAACCTAAATAGAAATCCATAATTCTGTGCTACCAAGTGAATGATAAAAGAAAATAAAGAATTAGCTCATGAGGCAGGGAGAGGTATACAACTATACATCACAGTGCCGAGGTACACAGCTATAATAATTCATTATATAATTTTTTCTTTTTTTCTTTATAGTGATCTAGAACTGGGCTTGGGTTTTTGGGAGTCTTCTCTTCCCCCTCTTAGGATGCACTTAGTTTCATCCCTTAATTAGCCTAGCAGTGATTTTCCTCCTATTACCTGTTCTTTCTACTCCCTACACTCTATGTATAGTTACCTAGGCTTGCATGGGATTTTCTGAGTAGGTTAGTAGTTAGGTTTTGGATGTGCTTTGACACACCATTTCCTTTTCCTTTGGTCTCCCTTATTTTTCCTGTCCATTTTATATTGTTCCCATCATTAGGACTAATAAAGGTAGGGCTCCCTTTCTTTGTTGTACTATTCTTCCGTTTAGGACCTTACGGTCTTACTTTCTTCTCTTTTTTTTCTTTGGATACTGTATATTGTGGGTTATTCCCTGTTTGGGAAGAATAGTTTTAGGGCATTTTAAACACTGACCCACGGGCCAAATTGGTGACCCCTGGGTCAGTGACTTCAGTATTATTTCATAATAAAGAAAATGCAAGGTTACTCACTAAAGTTCAAGATGTTATAGTGCTTTATTACCTTAAGAGGTTAAAACGTTCTCAAATCAGTACCTTTTTGATGAAGGTCGAGCTACTGATTTCTACAATTTCAGAATCCGGATGTCACTGGGGGAACTGCAGATCTGGCATTAGAGGCAGCCTTTGGGGTTAAGTCATTGAGAACGGTGTAACCACTTAAGGTAAAGCGCATGGGGCCATCCTGTTACCATAACAACTTAATTTAGATTAAGTTGTTATGGTGAACGGAGTGTTCATTTAACCATGTTAATGTTTTAATTCTGCAAAACTTTGACGCAAATGTCAAACAGTAGCCACTGAGGCTGCATTCTGTGGTTCAAATTCCAAAGCATGCAGCCTATGAACAGACCACACCACTGCACTGTTGCAGTTAGGGGGTGAATTGAGGAGAATGTGTTTGGTAGCTATAGTATATATTAAATAACTGTTCTCCTGTTTGATACAAAGCAGCCAACTGTAAAATTTTACTGTACCCATATTATGAATTTTGTCATGTTCCCTGTGATCTTCTCAATTTTTCCATTTTTAATTTAAAAAAACGTGCGCACAACAATTATTCCAGTTTATATACACTAACCGTACTGAATCCTCTCAATCGTCAGAGCTGTTTTATTCAGGCAATTGTTCTATCTGGTATGTTTAGGGTAATGCTGTGCATCCCCCACTGGGATAGAAATCTTTGATGCCTTTCTCTAGCCACTGGGCACTTTTGCCAACAAAACTAATCTTATTTGGATCTGTGTTTAATCACAGTAGGGCCAGAGCAAATTGGCAGCACATTAAACAGTCCCAAACAACATGATCAGAAAGCCATAAAAATCCCTGTGAAGTGCTAGAGAAACGCGCCGGACACACGCTTTACCTCATTCAGCACCCTGCATGGAAATGCCGTCCACAGCTGATAACCAGTCCTTTGTGTCACAAAACAGTTCAGGGATGCCAAGAACCAGAGATTTGGTGTGTGTTATTGAAGGCATTGGATTGACTCAATGCACAACTTCTGATGTTCCCATTGCAGTATGGCAGGCTACACATGTTTCACTTGTGAAAGGCATATTTACCCAGTAGCTCTTGGTAGCAGGATCACAAAAAGTTACAGGTGTTTTTTACAATTTTAGCTGGTACAACATGAGTATGCTACGGTTCTAGATGAAGAAAAAAGCAACATGCCATTGTTCCCTTTTTTAGGAAAATGTATAGAGATGTGAAACCTGGATATTGCATTCAGAAAGTATTCAGACCCTTTTGTTTTTCATGCTGTTACAATTGCTTGAATTATTTTTTCTTCACATCAATCTTCACTCAATACCCCATAATGAAAAAAGCAAAAAACACATTTTTGAAAATGTTGGACATTTATTAACCAATCTAACCAATCCTACATCTTTCTCAGCCCTCTTGTCATTTTTCTCTCTTGCACTCAAAGAAAAAATAGATGAATTCAATTAAAATGTGTTGATGAATGTGTATGATTAGAATTGTGTGTATATGTTAAGAATGGTGCTATGTGCATCTGTAGTGCTTTTCCTCTAATCTCCTCGACTATACCTTGAATGTATGCTCATGACTGCCTTCATTTTGTTCATGTCTCCTTTTCCATAGCCTTCACTCCTGAGCTCTAGATTGTTGAAAGTGTCAATATGGAGAAGTAACTGTCTGATAGTGACTTGTGTGTGTGATTTCAACGTTGATATTTAAATTTACCTTTTATCATTTACCATTTTCCCTTGAGCATGCCAACTTGCTTGTAACTTATGCAATCTGAGTTTGTTGACATACACCAAAAATTCACTTACCCATGAGATGCCGCGAAAGACCAGTTTTTCTTAGCTCAAGATGTGCTAGTAAACAGCACAGACATTTTTCTCACTTCTGAATGTCATTTATTTTAGGTTTTATATTGTTATGCTCCAGTTAGTAAATCGAGCCCAATGAGATTAATATTCTGACAACCTTCCCTTCCTAGAACTGTGCCCAAACCTTGAACACTTTCACAATCATTTTGTTTTATGTTTTTGTACTTAATTTTCTTTTTTTCAGACATTTGCAGCCATAAAAATTATTTGTCATTACATTTTTTGTTAGACGGTTTTGTAGACTTTCAGAAGAGGAAATAAATAAATAAAATAATCTCACACCTTAAACCAGATGTGCTGGCAGCTGGCGTTCATGTGCTGACCAGCTGTCTTCTTCTGCTTCGTACTTCATGTCTGGAGACACACTGTGCTTGTAGGTAAAATTAGTAGGGTCTGTAGTCTAGAGGTACAGGGTGACCCTTATTCTGAAATGCAATATTCTGCATAATCAGTGTCTTTCTGTTGCTGAGAATCTAATCTTGTATTACATAACACACTATGTGTAACTCTCCAACACAGCTTATTCTTTTAAAGACACCAATTGTTTTCCGAACATCTGCCTTCAACATAGAATGGACTGTGTGTTGACTCAACCATATCCATCATCTGTTAATTAAACTGAATGTTTCTCATAGACAATACTGGGCTGTATTCATATTATTCCTTTGTGTTTCTTTCTAAATCTCCTTAATTTGAAGATCTCATTAACTTGGCTTGAAGTCTGTACCTCTCAATTTGTTTACGTCTTAAATTGCGGACATGCTCTATGTACACTGTTGGAAATGGGCTCGAGGACAATGCAAAATAGTTATATGGATAGGAGAGACAGACGTGCTGTGTGAGTTTCACTGTGATACAACTTGGAAGACTAGTAAATGTGTTGGGGATTTATTCACTAAACCTGGAATTGTATAAAATTGGCAAGTTAATTAATGAAAAGAGCCAAGCTGCAAAAGTAACGGGCCTTTAGATTTATTTCCTAGTTTAGTGAATAAACTCCAGTGTGAAGTCAAATGGAATTAAAAATAATCTGTACACGGGGGGCGGCGCCTGACAGCGTACCGGAGCAGTCGTCATATTTCATAGCTCCGACAGATTGGAAATATATCTGCCAAATATTGGACACATCGAATCCTTACCAGCCGTGGGTGGACCAGATATCAACAGAGGGTATATCGCTGAACCCGCTGATGCCTTTCTTTTACACCGCGACTAGAAAAACCCGCAGCCGCGGCCCCAAGGTGTCGTAATGTCAGGATTACTGTTTGATCCAGCACGTAGAACTGTACAGCACGAATGACGACAAATAAGTAACGTATGGCCGGATTTAACGTACAAAGAATAGTCAAAAATACTAGCCGAGGTCAGGGAACACAGAAAGGGACACAGCGATGAGGAAAGCCAGGAGTCAGGATACCAGAATATAGAGAAGTCAATAAACAAAGCCAAAGTCAAAAACCAGGTAGAAAACTATAAACAGGAATGCGCTCTCGGACAACCACAAGGGAAACCACGACAGGGCACTGAGCAGGCTGAGAACTGGGCCTAAATACCCCTCCTTTAGTTCTGATAGGCTGTAACCGGCCTTTGACCCCAAAGTCAGTTACCAGGTTTCATTTGCATAATTGCTGCTCAGCATTAACCCTTCTGTGGATTAGGTTGCTGCTCGGCACAACTTTTCCTGTGTGGACAGTAAATGTCATTAACCACATTTCTATAAGCGGATGAATACATGACACCAGGTTTCATTTGCACAATTACTGCTCAGCATTAACCCCTCTGTGGATTAGGTTGCTGCTCGGCACAACTTTTCCTGTGTGGACAGTAAATGTCATTAACCGCATTTCTATAAGCGGATGAATACGTGACACAAGGCCTACCTGCTGACAGGCATGCTTTATTGCGACCCAGGTTCCCATTGTTACCAACGCCACTTAACGGGACAGGTGGCTTACAAGCGCAAAACCCTGTACTGTTACCACACCACCATCAATGTGTTGAACCAAAGCATCGTTATTTGTAGCCCTAAAATTCACCATTATTAACAATGGCAAACTAGTTATAACTACCCAGCCCATTATATATAAAAAAAACTGTGCAATGTTTGTTTTAGCCAAGTCACTATATTCACATGGTCACTGTTATGTCTCATACATATGCTGTTGTGGCATATCCAAATGTGTCTGTACCACTGTTATTGCACTGAAAATAAAGAATTAAAAAAAAAACCTGTACACAATGTACAGTAATGTGGATGAGTAAGCGTTAATATCTTTGTTTTAAAGGGGAGCTGTCACTACATTTTACTTTATTTCAAGGGTGTGAAAAAGTAGATGAAATGAAATGTTGAAATCCACACTTTATTCTGTAGTACTAGTGGATGCCTCTATCTTAGCTCCTTGTCAATATTTTTTTAAGCTCTGTCCTTTGCATTTAGCAGTCAGCACAGAGAGAGCATACAGAGAAGAGGAGAAATTAAAAATGTTTCTATTTTTCATTTGCAATGTTCGTCCTTGCTTTGTCTTGTCTGAACTGGATTATGATATGTATTTAAACAAAAATGAAGCATCTGATAAAAATAAGTTTAACATGGTTTATTCAATGGTGTTATTTCCAGAGAGGATATGGTGGGGTCTCATTTCTTTGCATTAAATAAATGGAAATGTATCTGTGAAATACTGGAGGATTGCCTTAACCATGACTATTAATAAGCTAACCGTGATCAAAGGCAAATTAGTTTTGTGAAATATGAGCCTAACTAATTTTTTTCATTTCTTTAAATAGTGTTTTGGTAAATAAAACATCTTCTGTCCTAGTGTACAGCAAAGTGTGGCGAGCATAGTACAGTGACAAGGGACGTGCGCTGTTCAGAGGAAGAAAAGTTATGTGACCCAAACACCAAGCCTCCTACAGAGAAAAACTGTACAGGAACACCTTGTGACCGGCAATGGACCGCTTCAGACTGGGGACCGGTGAGAAGACAATTTTACTGTTCAATCTAATGTTATAATGAATTAGTGTGGATTTAGGAAATACAGGCCATGCCAAACTACTTCTAACATATCATAATTAGAATATAATTTGTATATTAATTTTTGCCTGTTAACTCTTTATAGATAATAGAATGTGATCTATACAATGTGCAATACATAGACACATTTAGATTTCATCCATTACCTTAAAAGGACATTATAGTCACAAAAACAACTTTAGTTTATTGAAGCAATTTTTGTGTATAAATCATGCCCTTGTACTTTCACTAGTCATTCCACTGCCATTTAGGAGTTAGATCACTGTTGTTTCTGTTTATGCAGCACTAGCCACACATCCTCTGCCTGTGATTGACACTGCCTCCATGAAAAAAAAAAGTTTTAATTTTCAATCAGATGTAACTGACTTTAAAAGTGTTTATCTCTTGCTCTGTAAATTGAACATTAATTACACACAGGAGACCCCTGCAGGATCCAGCAAGGTATTAACAGAGCAGGAGATAATAAATTATAAATTAAACAGAATTTGCAATAAAGGAAGTGTAACTATTAGATGACTCTTTACAGGAAGTATCAAGGAAAGCTGCGTAAGTCACATTTAGGGAGGTGTGACTATGGCTGCATAAACAAAGTGATTTAACTCCTAAATTACAGAGAATGGAGCAGTGAGACTGCAGGGGCGTGATCTATACACCAAAACTGCTTCATTAAGCTTCAGTTGTTTTGGTGACTATAGTGTCCCTTTTATGTTTTGACATTGAGGTTAAATTTCTAGTCCAAAATATGATAACCACAAAGTGCATACAACTGTACCCTCCCCTAAATTGAATTAGGATGTCCCACAATGGCCTTTGTGTGTGCATGTGGTACGCAATGCTGTACAAAGGTCTGAGCATTTGAAGGCAGGTGGAGACAGGCACATCCATTTTGGCTACCAGCAGTGGCGTACACACGACCCATGGGGCCCCAGTGCGAAAATTGATCCTTGTCCCCTGGTCGCAGGGGTGGCAGCCCACGGTATGTACGCCAGTGCATGCAGATACACACACACACTTAAAGGACCACTACAGACACCCAGATCACATCAGCTCAATTAAGTGGTCTGGGTGCCAGGTCCCTCTAGTTTTAATCCTGCAGCTGAAAACATAGTTTCAGAGAAACTGCTATGTTTCACAAAGGGTTGATCCAGCCTCTAGTGGCAGTCACTGACAGCCGCTAAAGGCGCTTCCGCGATTCTCTCTGTGAAAATCACAGTGAGAAGACGCTGGACGTCCATAGGAAAGCATTGAGTAATTTGGAGCTGAGAGGTGGATTGGGGCGGAGGGATCCCCAGCGCCAAGGGAGTCCGGCGCTAGAGAAAGGAAAGTGCTGAAGGGGTTTTAAACACACACACTCTCACGAACAGACGCATACACACTAGCTAACAGACACACACTCAGCGACAGACACACATACACACTCACTTACAAAACATACACTCTCACTGAAAAACACACACTCGCTAACAGACATCAAACAGACTCACTAACAGACACACACAAACTAACACACTCAGTAACAGACACACACACACACACACTCAGTGACACACAAACTAACACACAGTCAATAACAGACACACACAAACTAACACACACACAGAAAAACTAACACAGACACAGTAACACACACATATACATGTTTTTTTTAATAGTGATCTCCCAGCCTCCCTACCTTTGGGAGTGCTGAGGAGATTCCCTGGGGTCCAGTGGTGTTGCTGGGCGGCCGGTCCTGCGGGCTCACGAGGGAGCACTGAGATCCTTCTGTTCAGCTCCCTCGCGCGCCGCTTACCGATGCCGGAGCCGGAATATGATGTCATATTCCGGCTCCAGCATCAGTGCGGTGCGCGAGGGAGCTGGGCAGAGAGCGCTCAGGGGAGAGTGCTCCCTCGCGCGCGCTCCATCCAGCCCACCCAGTGACACCAGGGCCAGCCTCGGGGGGCCCTGAGGTGGCCAGCTCCTGAGCCCCCCAGGAGATGAGGCTGGCCACACTGGCATTCATACCGGGTCGCAGGGCGGCCGGGCCCCATGGTGGGCCGGGCCCGGTCGCAGCCACGACCCCGGTATGTACGCCAGTGGCTACCAGTTTGATTTCAGAAAGTAGCGAGTTACATGTGAATATAAAATAGTAAATTATTTATTAATCACTAATTACACATGCTGTTTTGACTACTTTTCGGTTATGTCACTTAAATATGTATAAAACCTTTACATTTTAATTTATTTATTTTTTACTGGTGTAGCAGAACATGCCATAGCTAGTTTATTACAGATTATTAATAAAGTCTATACAGAATATTGCAATATTTTTATAGTGATAGATAAGTGAATGTGGATGAAAACAATTAACAACAGACGCAAAGAAGCATTTCATTGAACACTAGTGAATTTAAATCTGAAGTGCAAAATTTAGGCCAAAATAGGTGAATTGGAAATATTCTTCAACGCTGCTATAGTCATAGCTTGGCTATTTTACCACAATTCAGTGTCTATTGAATAAACCCCATATGAAACCTCACTAAAGTGTATATTATCTGGAATTCAAAATTAATTCAAAGTGATTTTTGAGGGTATTGAGATTATTTTTGTCAAGGTGATGTTTAATGTATATAAAAAGCATTTGCATTTGTAGAATAAAACTAACTTTCTTACTTATGACATACAACATAATATATTTTAAGAAAAACACAATAACAATCTGAGCATCATGAAAATGTAGTTCACAAGTGTTTGGGTTGTGAGAGGTGCAACTTCTGACATCCTTTATCTGGCGATTGTACGCCAACAAGTAATGGAAGGCCAAAACTCGAGAGGCTTGGTGTAAATTTAAATTCATTGTAAAATATTTATTTTTGTCCTGTTACAAATTTCACATAGCGTGTTCCACAGAGCAATTCTTAACTAATTTTTTCAATCGAATCTTTTTGGACCTGTGTTGGGCACCTTGTCTTTTAGTAAATAAGCCCCTTCGTTCCTTCATTTGCAATTACGGCCTACAACAGTTAGGAACAGGGCAGTGCTTTTTGCATAATGCAGACAAACACAGTGTAATATCAGGTCAGGAATACAGGAGCTTGGAAAAGACACCATTCTGATTATTTTCAAGAGTATCTGAAGATAATGGTTCCCAGTAGAGAATTCATTATTTGCAGACAACACAGGTCTGGTTTGGAGAGTAGCTCCCTTCTGGGAACATGATGTTGGTCCATTAAAAAGATTTCACAATTGCAAGTAATCCAATAAGCTTTAAATTGCAATGCAACTTCTGGTCCTCTGCTGTTGGTTTTAATGAATGTTACCAGGCAACAGTTTCCTAGGAGATAGTCTATTTATAGTTGTAATTGATGATTACCAATGGAGGCAAAAAATAGATTTGGAAGAGGTGCATGTTTGTGTCGTTCTGGTGGCTAGACTGTGCTTGAAGTGGAGTCATGGCAGGAATGCCCAGGGGTAGGGATTAGTCATAGGCCCTTTCCAATTATCTATAGCTGGGCTTCCAGAAAAGAACTGGTTTGCGCAAAAAAGTACAGAATTTGGCACAGGTTAAACAAGGGAATTTGTTCAGCCATGTTAAGCTTCTGTTCATAACTCATTTGTCTTGTGGTTTCAGTGCAGTGGAAGCTGTGGTCAGGGGAAGATGATCAGGCATGTCTACTGCAAGACGAGTGACGGAAGAGTCGTCCCTGAATCTCAGTGCAATTTAGACACCAAACCTCTGGCCATCCATCCCTGCGGAGATAAAAACTGCCCCCCACACTGGGTTAGCCAGGACTGGGAAAGGGTAAGAAGTGGACGAGTTCACAGACTTTAAAATACAGTGTGTTAAACGGCACATGTAAAATATCATAGCTGACCATTAAAAACAATAAATGCCATCAGAAAATATATGTATCAACTTAGAGTTCTAACTGATCTTTCAAGCAGATATCTGTTACCAGCAAAATGATAGCACTATGGCAGTGAGTGACGACTGCATAAAGTGAGTGGGGGATACAGAGAATAGGTGGTTGTATAAATTCAAGGGACCAGAGTAAGTAGACAGCTGCATTATTTGAATGGGCTTTTTGCATTGAGTAAATGGCTGAATAACGTAAATTGGATTTGTTCTAAGTGAGTGAGAATTGCATTACAGTTTAAGTGTTGTATATAATGGGCCTTCGTACTAATCCATAAAAATATTTCAAATTCCACAATCATTTTTATCTAAACATTTGCTATGTAAAATGCAAAATGAATATATCCATTTATTGGTGATAGGTTTACTTAATAATATGTTGTATTAACATTTTAATCCCAGATAGAGAGATGTATTCAAGTTAAATATCCAATACTTTACTTGTTGACCTTCATTTATGGCAACATTTAGTGATGGCTATTTAACACACTTAGATTCAGCCCAGTCTAGGCTAAATGTCATGTAGAAAGGGGAGTCGATACCTGGAATAAATGTAATGTGTAAACTTTTCAAACTGAATCAGTGAGATAGAAGATGTAGTAGATATTGGGAAGAATTTCCCAGTAAAGGCAATTTACAATCCTGAAAGGTTTGTAGGTCACTTCAATAGATACACATTACTAAACGTAGATATTTCAGATTGATTGGGATAAGTACAAGGCCTGTTCTGAAGATTACATAATTGGCAGGCTGTATGGGACAGTGGATAGCCAACTCTTTAAAGGTTCTGGGCTCTCTTACTTTGTTTATATTTTCCTCCTCCCATTACTTCCAGTGTAACACGACCTGTGGCCGGGGAGCAAAGCAGCGAGTCGTTTTGTGCATGGAGGTGGCTAATGGCAAAGTCAAAACCCGCACTACCTCTGACTGTGATGCTTCCAAGAAGCCCAGTGAGGAGAGCACTTGCTTCGAAAGACCGTGTTTCAAGTGGTACACCACACCCTGGTCGGAGGTAATGATCATGCACACTACTTGTCTTATGACCAGAGGTGTTTTGGGTTATTGCTGCCAGATGCAGCTTTTACATATATGCACATCTTGCCTAGAGACCATATCATGGCTCAGAAAGAGGCTGGCAAAGCAACATGGCAGTTTAGCTGGGTATCTGACTTTTGGCTACCCTTGATCTGGACAGTGGCCTCTTTTTTAACTGAATTACCTAACCCCATTTATCTATGGTTTTTTATTTTTTATTTTTTTTAGTTTTAAATACTTTGTAATGCAAATTTGCTCCACCAGCAATGCATGTGTCTTATTTTAGAGTAAAATTATAGATGAAAAAAGATTTGCTTTAAAGGGGTTTATAATGTGTGGTGTTTGGTGATTCGAGGGCCAAAAGGGCCATGGTATACTATGCCATGGACATCCAACTCAATTAAACATTCTCTAAACAATTTATTTTAAGGAGCCCTTTAAATTAAATTTAGTAGCTAGCATAAGCTTAACCAGATGGCAGATAGTAACCAATCTGTCATTACAGTGCAGCAAAACATGTGGAGTGGGAGTCCGGATGCGAGATGTCAAGTGCTATCAAGGAACGGATATTGTACGTGGCTGTGATCCATTAGTGAAGCCTGTGGCTAAACAAACGTGTGATTTGCTGCCTTGCCCCACAGAACCACCAGGTGAGTGACTCAACTCTAAGCGAATTGAGGGCAAAATAGATCTTGTATGAAGGCATAAGAGATCTTGTATGAAGGCATAACAAATCACTTAAAGCAGATCTGTCATTTTCAGCGGTCTTTGCAGATTTCACAAGGAAAGATAAAACTGACAGATCTGATGTTAAATCAGTGGCCGCGTAGGGGATGTGAGTTTTACTTACCTCGGGCTGGTGACCACTGCCATCTGCCTGCTGCTGTCCTCTTTGGCTCCTGATACAGTTGCCAGAAGCCACATCAGTGCTGTATTCTTGTGCATGAACGAGAGTACAACACTGAGGTCTATGGAAGACTGCAGGATCCTCCATAGATAAAACCTGAATCCCACAGTCGTCAGTTGTGATGGCTGCTGGGATTGTACAAACGTTAACGACACAGTTCCACCTTTTGTGAACTATTGTCAACCTCAGGCTTTACCATAAAACAAAGTAATACCATAAATATGTACATAAGTTATTACAATATTTCAAATAAAATGAATTCAAATATATATTCACCTTTGTAGTTTCTATGTTTGACGCAAATCCCCAGGTTTAGCATCTACCATCATTCAGCTGTCCCCAAGAGGAAATAGTTCACACCTTCCAGCCAATCCTAACCATTGTTCAGATGTGAGGATAAATTTCCTGCCCTGCATAGGTTCGTGTGATGTGTAGTTCAGCAGTTCTATTTATTATAAAGATGTGCATAGGCGTGCGCACTGGGTGTGCCTGGGCACACTCTAATCCCCGCGGCACGCCTATGTATTGAGTCCTGCAGGAGCAGAGTTCCTGCACTTTTTTGAGCAGGAACGCTGTTCCTGCAGGCACTCAGCGCCCCCAAATGCTCCCCTTTCACCCCCTGTCATGGGGGGGGCTAAGGGGTGATGGACCCTCCCCCCAGTCGGTTGCCTGTCTCCAAATCAGACGTGGCGAAGGAGCGGTGTCCACTATGCTCCCTCGAGCCGATGCCGGGAGCCGGAATATGACGTCATATTCCGGCTCCCAGCTACTGTAGACAGCCTGCGCGGCGAGAGTGAGCAGAGTGGACACCGCTCCCTTTCCTCGTCTGATCTGGAGACAGGCACCCGACCAACTGGACCCCAGGGACAGGTCCACGCCAGCTCTCCAGGTAGGGAGGCTGGGTGGACATTTTTTAATTAAAAAAAATAATTTGTGTGTGTCTGTGAGTGTGTGTGTGTGTGTGTGTGTCTGTGAATGTATGTGTGTGTGTGTATGTGTGTCTGTGAGTGTGTGTGTCTAAGTGTGTGTGTGTCTGTAAGTGTGTGAGTGTGTCTGTGAGTGTATGGGTGAGTGTGTGTGTGTGTCTGTGAATGTATGTGTGTGTCTGTGAGTATGTGTGTGCACGCGTATATATGTGTGTGTCAGTGTGTGTGCGCACGCGTATATAATATTTTGGGGGGGGATCTTGGGAGAGTTCCCACACTTTATTCCCCAGGACTTCTCTGGAGACCTCCGGATCTCCCCTGTCGGCTCAAGCAGAGTCGGCACTAGCTGAGTGCCGGCTCTGCTCTAAGCCTTCATGGGCTGGCGGGGAGATCAAAGATCTACCTCACCAGCCCACAGCAGCATGGAGGGAGGCAGGTTCCTCTCACGAGATCTGAGCATTGCCATGGCAGGCTAGAGTTCACTCTCCACTGGACCACCAGGGATGGCACATGGCAGTAAGGATCCCCCCTCACTATGTAAGGTAAGAAGGGAGGGGGGATATTTACTAATCTGCTCCCACCTCCACAATCCCTCCAAACATACAGCACACACACACACGTACAGCACCCACACACATACAGCACCCTCACACAAACATCACCCACACACATACAGTACACATACAGTACACTAACTGCACCCTCACAAACACACACAGCACCTTTACTCACACACAACACCCTCACAAATACATGACTCCCACACACATCACACAAACGGCACGATCACACACACATCACACAAACAGCACCCTCGTGCACACAGCACCCTCACACAGCACCCTAACAAACACACAAACACCCTCACACACAGCACACTACCAGCACTCTCACACACAAACAGCACCCACACAAACACCCTCACCCACATAGCACACTACCAGCACCCTCACACACACATCACACACTAACATCACCCTCACACCACCCTCACACAGCACACTAACAGCACACACACACACCAGTGTATGTGTGTGTGTGTGTATATATATATATATATATATATATATATATATGTGTGTGTGTGTGTAAAAAACAGATACAATTCTTATCTTGTAATACCTTTTTTATTGGACTAACAGAATTTAGAGTGTCTGTGCATATTCATTCTATTGTTACATAGAGTGTCTGTGCATATACACTCTATTAAACACCACAAAGAAGAATCATACTGCACTCCTGTGGGACACCACTTTACCCAGCCTGGCCACTCGCTGAAGGACCTAAAAATCAAAGTACTGAAAGGGGTTTTTAAAAATACCCAGGAAAGAAAAGCCTTTGAAGCCAGAGTGATTAAATGGTTTAACAGCAAGAATAGAGGACTAAATATTGATTTGGGATTCCTGTCCCACTACCAACACTTTACATGAACACTCTCCCAGCATTATCTTACTATTCTGTCGTATGAACCAACACTTTAAAATGCATTCCTATATGTTTATTCTATCTATATACAAAGTACTATGTGTAGACCTATGCTTTCCCATACTCGTATGCATGAATGCTTATATATATTACTGTGCATTTATATTTGTGTATATGAGTTCATGTGCATGTATGTATATGTGTTTATGTATATGTACATGTGTTTATGCGTTCACATATACATATTTATGTGTGTGTGCATGTATAAAGTGTACCATCCTGTGCACTGTCTGCTTGTTTGTTTTTCTTTTCCCTCTCTCCCCCTCACTCTGCTCTTCAACAAGATATTTATGACCCTCTGCTAAGATGGTGTCTATTTTCTAAGAAACCTGTGTCTTATCTACACTCATGTTACTTTAACCCTTGTATCACAACTCAACTTTGAATTCTATGTGTCGTTTTGCTCAGAAATGCTTCAGACTTGAGAAAGGGAGGTTCTCCCGAAAGCTTGTCATTAAAAAAATCTGTTAGTCCAATAAAAAAGGTATTACAAGATAAGAATTTTATCTGTTTTTTACATCTACATCACTGGACTAATACGGCTACAATCTCTACTTGATCTATATATATATATATATATATATATATATAAATATATATATAAATAAGGTGCACTCACAGGTCTTCAAAAGTACTTCATTTATTCCATATACAAATTACATGTGCACAAAAATCTTCCAATAATCGACGTTTCTTGAAAAAGACCCTATAGGGGTCGATACGTCGATTATTGGAAGATTTTTGTGCACATGTAATTTGCATATGGAATAAATGAAGCACTTTTGAAGACCTGTGAGTGCACCTTATTTATATATTTTTGTATTTACAATGCTGAGGTTTGCACCCAGGCAATATTTCTTTGGATATCCGCATTAAAGGGTGAGTGCCAAGCTTATCTCTTTATATATATTTATATTTTTATATATATATATACACACACACACACACATGCAGCGTGTGTTTGTGCTTTAGGGTGCACACCCTAATTCGTAATGTCCCGAACGGTTCGCCGCGGACGGCAAACATATGCGCTGTTCGGTCCGCCCCCTATGTCATCATTGAGTAAACTTTGACCCTGTACCTCACCGAACAGCGCATATGTTCGTCGTCCGTGGCGAACCGTTCGGGACATCACTAACCCTAATGCAATAGGCTGCGCACGCCTATGAAGATGTGAATAGCACTGCTGCCCAAGCTGATAGCAGCAGAAAAAGCCACACACACACCAGCTTCAGAGTGAACAATTTTGCAGATTTTCAGTGCCTAACATTCTGTCTATTGCTCTATGAATACAGTTATATTCTCTGGTCCTCTTCCTCTAGATGACAGCTGCCAAGACCAAGCTGGAACAAACTGCGCTCTGGCAATCAAAGTCAATCTCTGCAGTCACTGGTATTACAGTAAAGCTTGTTGCCGGTCTTGCCGCTCTGCTCTTTCATAATGTGCAATAAATGGGAGGTGGGGGTGGTCAGTCAATGAAGGGGAGCTCTATCCTTCAGAGCAAACCTAGGAAGAAGCATTGTCTAGCACATGGTCCGAGAAGAATATTAAAGCAAAAATGCCCAGTATGCTAGTATACTTTACAGCACAGTCCCTTTTGAAAGGGTTTTCAACGTTACAAGAGGCTTTGGTAAAAAGTTGAAATCCTTTTAGGTGAATGTATTATGTGACCTGAGGGTTAAAATGAGAAAAGTTTTGTGGCTAAAGTTTCTCTGTCGTTCCCTTGACTGTGTTCAGCAATATTAGCAGACATACAAACCTGGAGATTTACTGAACAGTAAATTCTCAAAGGATACATCTGGCCAAAGCTCAAATTCCACCATGTACCTCTTCCTGGCCCTGCTGGAGCACACCACATGCTACTTCTAAATGTGATGTGAGCAGCTCAAGTAACTTGGCGACAACAAAGGGTTTTGTGCTAAATTCAGAGACATTGTAATTAAATGAAGGGATGTTATCATAAAACCATGGCAGCCAAATTCTACACATTGAGCTGAAGATGAATTGTATCAGTCTTTTCTTGCAAAAGCCTGGATTGTGGTTACTCTCCTTTTTTTCCTAATCTACTAGTGCTCAAATACTTTTTTTTATTGATTGTCTGTTCTTTATTGATTGTCCATCTTTTGTAAAGGAAAATTAATCAATCTGCCATGTATTGGTTGGAGCCAAGTTATGTTATATTCTTTAGGTTTTACAGCTTGTCATACCACGCTATATTGGTGCTTTGACTGGTAGTATAAGCCATGATGATTAGAGTTGTGCACTTAAAAAAAAAATAGGTTCATGTGGTGTAAAAATTTGGTTTGGGTGAACCAAATTTCAGCAATTCGGCTCGTCTGCATTTCATCCAATAAATTTAGTTATTTTTTATTCAGACAAATAAAATTATGTGTTCAAAAGCTTTTTTTAATTTTGATCTTCCAGATGTTTAGTAGCTAGCTTCCTAATATGGTACCCTAATGTGGGTTTGCCATATTTAAGGATAACAAATTAGGGAGCTGTTTAGTATTTCAAATGCACGAGTCTAGCACCAATAATAATGTGGTTCTCTTAGTATTTTTTCCAATTAACTAATTGGTGACTTGCAAGTTCTAAATGGCTGTAGGGACCAAAACCCCATTCAGATAAATTAAAATAGAAATATCATTACAAACTGGCATTAGGAAATGCAGGGAATTTCACTATTTTTGCCCTTATTGCTATATATTATTGTTAAGCAGGTGTTGAAACCTGGGAATATTTTGGTTTATATGTTATTAATATAATGTGGTAATCGCTCAGAGGTGGTGTCCGTTTGGCTTTAATTTAAATTATGAACCCAAGTGGGGTTTTCTTGCATTTGATCATCATAAAATAAAACCATGCTGTTTTTTCACATTATGTATTTTACAATTTAAGTTATCCTGTGTAATGTTATACACCCAACGTATTCCCCAAACGGAAAGAAGGTTTATTTTGCAACAAGTTGTATACTTTCAGAATGGTGTATCATTATGCAGTGTATATGTTTCCATAGCCATGTACGTACATTGTATATAGTATTAATCTTTCACAAAACAAATAGTTCAGAGGATATCAGGCTGTTACTTGGAAACCTGCAATGCTGTTACTTGATGCGGTTAAACCACACTACACGAATCAAAGCAATATTGTGTTACATATTTATCAAGAGCTTTATTTTGCAAAAAAAATGTAGCTCAATTCTTTTTCTTAATTTTTCAATTACTGTATGTTACTAATTGAACTGTATCAGCAAAGTATATTTGCCTGTCAAAGGAGTGAGTACATGTTCAACCACAAAAAACAAACCAAGGATATTGGAACATGAATAGTCAATATATTCTATAGTATCCACTACACAGAAATGAAACAAGCACTGCTGTGTAGTTTGTAGTGTTTTACACATTTTCACTAGTTTAAGAAAATATATTAAATTTGCTTTTGAGCATAACTTCACTGTAAAGGAGAACTTATGAGATTCAATAAAAACTAAATAATTATTGAAATAAATATCATTATTTAAAATGCCTTCACTTAACCTCATTTTCCCTCTAAACATTCTCAGTCGACTGAAATAAATTTTTTGGCTAATCGAGTGATTGCTTCCACAATCCATTGTGAGTGAGTGAGACCTGATATTCTGATACAGATGTTTTTTGCATTCAAGATGTTTTTATAAGGAAAATGCCTGCAATGTGTAACTTCGCAGAGGCTGCTTTTTCTCCTAATATATTTTTTGTCAATAAATATTTCAATTTAAATTTATGTAATCACCATCCTATGTTTTACTGCAATAAAACATCTATAATTAAAGTTTTCAAGCATACTGTTTTTTTATTTTATTAGTGGGATGGAATGTTTTAGTTTTCTTCCTAAATATTCTTGCAAAGTTCAATATCTCCAATGATACTCCAAAGTTAATCTAAAACAAGAAGTGGAATTGAGACACATACATACACAATGAATATAGCTCTTTGTATTAATTAATAAAGCATACACTGTATGTTTGTTCTGCTAACAAATTCTAAAACTCAGTTTTTGCAGGATTCCGTTTTAACTTATAATAGTGTGTTTATCCTTGACAAGCTACACTCACATTACTGAAAGTGGCTATGTGGCTTTTATAGTCTTGGCCTATTTTGCATGCCACATAGTGTGCAGCAGTCATGGGAAGAAGCTGAAGGTAGATATGCTTACCTGAAATTATCCCTCGTGGGTGCTGCCATGTTTCTGCTAACATCTCTCTTTATCTCCAGGTGCTTCATCAGCCAGAAGCCTAAATCCCTCTCATACTTTTGGTTATGTGCATGAGTATGGCACAGCCATGTATTAAGGATCCCGTTTGATTGAGGGATTCCCACAAAAACATTATCTCCGAAGCTCCACCTATGGTTATTATACATCGTGATTGCTTCAGAGTTTCAATGATAGCCCAGCACAATCGATAGGAGTATTTTACAAAGACTCTTTCTTTATGAAATACTCTTTCTTGGCAGAACAACGTGTAGTTACACACAACATCACATTTTTAATCTATACATTGTTTTAAAATGTTATCTGTACATGGCAAAATAGATAATTGTATCAGTAGATTTTGTTTCATGTTTAGTAAAAAAGTAATCTCCCCTACCTGCCAATCAATTCTCATCATGGTACAGAGACATTGAATTGCTTTTTCAGGCGAGGAGTACCCTACTCTAGATGTTTCTCCTGCTTGCTAGGTGAGGGTACTGTACTCCAGGTGCTACTCCTGCAGGCTAGGTGAGAAGTATCCTACTTCAGGTGCTCCTCCTGCCCTCTACGTGAGGAGTACCCTGCACCAGGTGCTACTACTGCTGGCTAGGAGAGGATTAACCTACTCCAGGTGCTTCTCCTGCTTACTAGGAGATTATTTACCTACTCCAGGTGTTTCTCCTGCTTGCTAGGAGAGGATCAACCTACTCCAGGTGCTTCTCCTGCTTGCTAGGAGAGGATTAATTTACTCCAGGTGTTTCTCCTGCTTGCTAGGAGAGGATTAACCTACTCCAGGTGCTTCTCCTGCTTGCTAGGAGAGGATTAACCTAATCCAGGTGCTTCTCCTTGCTAGGAGATTAATTGACTCCAGGTGCTTCTCTTGCTTGCTAGGAGATGACTTACCTACTCCATGTGTTTCTCCTGCTTGCTAGGAGATGATTTACCTACTCCAGGTGTTTCTCCTGCTTGCTAGGAGAGGATTAACCTACTGCAGGTGCTTCTCCTGCCTTCTAGGAGATGATTAATTGACTCCAGGTTAGTTTAGCCTAACACACTACTTCATTCCTGTTGATCCACAAGCTGTTCATGTATAGTATATGTTAAATATAATAGGGATTATTCAATTCTGAATAGATGACCTCTTGTTCTTTGTACATTCCTTTTAAACGGACACTGTAGGCAGTGTAACCATTTCATCCCATTTAATTGGTTATAGTGCATGGAATCCCCAGGCACTGTCCCTCCATTTTGTGTTTTTAAAGGACCACTCTAGGCACCCTGACCACTTCAGCTTAATGAAGTGGTCTGGGTGCCAGGTCCAGCTAGGGTTAACCCATTCTTTTATAAACATAGCAGTTTCAGAGAAACTGCTATGTTTATGAATGGGTTAAGCCTTCCCCCTAATCCTCTAGTGGCTGTCTCATTGACAGCCACTAGAGGCGCTTGCGTGCTTCTCACTGTGATTTTCACAGTGAGAGCGCCAGCGTCCATAGCATTGTAAATGCTTTCCTATACCGGCTGAATGTGCTTGCGCGTGCGCATTTAGCCGACGGGGAGGATCGGAGGAGGAGAGCTCCCCACCCAGCGCTGGAAAAAAAGGTAAGTTTTACCCCTTTTCCCCTTTCCAGAGCTGGGTGGGAGGGGGACCCTGAGGGTGGGGGCATCCTCAGGGCACTATAGTGCCAGGAAAACGAGTATGTTTTCCTGGCACTATAGTGGTCCTTTAAGGAGTTAGACACTGAAACAGTTTGCTTGGCTTCCCACACTAGTTCCTTCTAGCCATAGCAATTCATACCCGCAATGGGCGCTGTTATAGGCTTAAAGCAATCAGCTGATACTCTCAACCAATTGCTGCCACAGATGGGCTGCTGAGAACTCGTTTAGCATGAAACCATTAGAAATAAAGCTGAATGGAAAGATGGCACCAGGGGACTACGGACACTATAGCCACTTCAATGAGATGAAGCAGTTACAGTGCATAGAGTGTCCCTTTAATGAACAGGTTACCAGAGAGCTGTTTGCACTGTCCTTGTTTCTATTTCTTTAATACTATAATAATCACATTAAATAAACACGCCTTTACTAGCTTTTCTACATTCCTCTAGCTATTTCATTTTTAGACACATCTGTATTTTGAATTTCTTTAATACCTTTTATTAAAACCAGTGTCCAATGCAATGCATGTTAGAGATGGAGCCCTGCCCTTCATTTATATAAAGACCTATTTATATTTTCTTTCTACATCACAATTTATGTTAGAGTTTGGCACCATCTGCATATACTAACTTTTGATGCCCATTTTAACACCATGAATTAAAGAGAGGTGGATGAGGCCAGAATTCCAAGCTACTCTGGTTACTATTTTAGTCCAACTGGAAATTTTTCTGTTAACTCTACTCTTCACTCTATCTTTAAAACAAATTTTAATCCCAAAGCAAGCATTTTGTTCTAAACCTACTGATTTCAATTTGTACAGAAATCTCTGTGGAACCATATCAAATGCTTTAGCAAAATCAAAAGAGATCTCGTTCATTGCAGAGCCTTGATCTGCTTTACTTCTATTGGCTTCCTCTAACCAGTATGTGCACGCCCCACAGTCATGTTGGAATGATCGTGGACAGCAAATGAAGAAGTAGAATATCTAATTTGATGTTACTGAATTGCTGTGAAGTTTTGGAGCTGAGTGAGCCTCACTGAGCAGGGAACGCTCTGCATTATAACCTATTAGTTCTAGGATATGTTGCTTTGAGTTACCCGGAGGTTCAACATATGCATCCCAATATCGGCTGTTGATCTAACAAATGGAGAAAAATCCAACTGAAAAGATTCCTAAAACATAAGATAAAGATGGCAAAAGTTTTAATCCTTGAGAGTGATGGTCCTCAATTTCTTTAATGTGCCCAAAATGAACAGCCAAGCATTAATGTAATTACACTTTTTATGTCCTTTTTATTGCTTAACAGCAATTATAGATTAAAACTATGTAAATTGCCTAAACAAGAAACATTCAATGAACATTCAGAGGTTTGTGGACTACATTTTCCATGATGCTGTGTTTGAAGGGTCACTGTCACTGTTCAGGAAATTACAAATTGAATCGTATTTTAAAAATCACCTGTAGCTTTTTCATGTGATGCCCTGTTATCTTTTAAAGGAATATTAAAGATTTGTACATAACATAATAGTCTAGGAAGAACTAAAAATGATCGCCTGTTCACTCTACAAAAGGGTAGACGTTATAAGCTAAGATTGAGGCACTCAGTCCCAGGACAGAGCTAATTCTAGAGATGTGGGTTTCTATATGTAATTTTATTTTTCAGACCTTACAAAACATATTTGTTAAATATAGGGGATAAGCCAAGATAATGTTACAAATCATGGTGACAGCTCCACTTTTAGCCATCTCTGCTCTAGCAATTTATTAACGTTATTTTCTTTGCACAATACGCCGTCATCTCTCGCAATGTTCTCGATACACAAAATATATGAATTTGAAGCCAACAGCAGAAATGAGTCTCCACGGCATTTACAAATAGTCGTTTATTTCAATTTAATTTCTCAGTGAATCCAGAAGTCTTTTCCAACAAATTAACAAATGTGCTTTTTAAAAAAAAAATATTATTGTAGTGAAACATTAATTTTTGCCCATCTTTACGATAAGCTAAATGAAACAAACATAATTATAAAAGAAAAAAATTTGCAACCACTTTATACGGTTAAATGCCAAAATCTAAAGGCAGCATCCAACAGTTTCATAAGGTTTGCACAAAATACCAAACGGCCAAAGTAGAGAAAACTCAGATTCCTGAGTAGACAACGCAAGCGGGTCACAAGCCCAGCTTCTGGAACGCCACACCAAAAAAATAAACAAATACTAGTTCCTTGATTACTTCAGAATACAGAGTTAATTAAAGGAATGATGAATATCATTAACATGAAAAGGTGCCAATTCTTGTCATTTCTGTAGACTATATTTTTGTACCGATGCAATATTTGTTTTAAATACAAAATTAAGATGTACGCGATCTGATGCTTCACCACAGTCTTAATGTGAAGAGATGTCTGGATCTGCCAAAGTCGTGCAATTAACAACGGCAGGGACACTAAAGTGATAGCCATCGTGCTACGGTTCACACTGTAATCGACTGTACACCTTATCAAAACACTGATTTATAAATGATTGTTGATATTAAAGGTTTAAAGCGTTACCAGAAATGTAAGTTGAAAGATTCTCCGTATGAGGTATCTTATTATTGCTAAAATAACTCTGCATCCATTATTATTGATACATATCTGAATTTTGCATTGCATTTCAGTGTCTTCAAACCTTATGTAGACACCATCCTTATACTTAAGTCCATCTTTCTAGAAATGGAAATGATTTGTGAGCTGCAGATCTGTTCCACGATTTAGATTAGGAATTTAAGGATAGTTTTCATACGGTTTTGGTTGTAAAGTGTCACCTAGGCACAGTCAGAAATACTTATCTTACCGATTCACCTGTCGTGGGACAAAATCTTAATCGCCTGCACTGTAGGGGGGGGTCTAACTCTCGTAAAGTCTGCCCTACCGATTACAATGATACGGCAATATTTGACTTTGTATTTAGCCAAGGATGCACACATGAACAAACCTTTTAGGTGTCATTGAATTACCAAATCATTGCCAATAAATCAGTAACATACTAACCACCAATATGTATTTACTATAGAGAGGAAGATATATCTATACATTTATATAGCACAGTAACCCCTTCACTCCTCAGAACATGTATTCACAGGCAGCAAAGGTATGGAGGAATGCCACTAATCATAGCTTCATTCCACTGTTCTGTAACTCATGATCATATAATGTGGGTCAACAAACTTCATCATTTCGCCATTGAATCAGTAAATAATACTGACATAAATATAAAATAAACATACACGTTAATGGACAAGAACTTTGTAATGAGGAATAGATCTTGCTTCTATGTGCTCTGCAGCTATGACAAAATGATTGAATGTAAAGATTTAAAGTTTATTCACACGAAATCCCATTCGATAAAGTATGAATTGATGGGAATGCAAAGACAATTTCACATTTAGACCAAAATAGCCTAAGTGAATTATTGGGCTATACTTTGAAATTGACTTTCAATTCCTGATATTCAACACTTTATTACACAACCCTGCCTACTGTGAACTGTTATGAATGGAAAACTAAATTATACAATCTTCTAGGCTGCAATAGCAAAGCTGTGACTAATGAGAGTTGAAGAATTCTTGAAATTCAGCACTTTCTGCCTAAAAGGAACAGTTTCAGCAACATAACTTCATCGAAATGTAGCCAGGAGATCCCTAGAGCTGGCTTACTTTTAAGGGCTAAACCATTCACAAACAGTTTAACCATTAATTCTGTGCTCCAGCATCATTCGGCTCTGCCCCCTGCAAGCCTTTCACTTTTTGCAGTTCTTTTTAACGGAAGGCTTCGGTAGGAGCACCACTGATTGAACAGTCAGCTGATTCTTTAAACCAATCACTAGGTTCCTGTTCATAAAAACGGCTGTAAAAAGATACGTACCTTTTTCAAGACGTTTTTATGAATGAGGAGCTCCTAAATGGCTCAGAGCATCAGATAGCTGCTCTAAGCCATTCAGTGGAAGCCCTGCCTGATGTTTCTGTTAATAAGCATTGCAGAAGATGGAAGGACAAGGGAGCAGAGCAGATTGGCGCTGGAGCACAGACTTTGGGATTAAATGTTAGTGAAAGGTTTAACCCCTAAAGGTAAGCCAGTGTAAGGGACCGTCTGACTCCAAAACGTCATTTCAATTAAGTTGTTACAGAATCCAGAGTTTTTCTTTTTCCCCATTCAGTTTTCAATTCACTATAATTCAGAGCTTAATCCATAAACCTCAAGGAGAGGGAGAGAGCAGAAAACGAAAGAGGTTAGTACTGAAAGGGTAAGGCTTTGTCTATAAGAGAGTTAAGTATCTCGGTGCGGTTACTGTGAAGTTCGATTATTTTTTTTTTTCTGGTTTCCATGTCAAACTAGGTACAGGTGCACTTTCCACACAGAATAAATCACCATGGTCACACAAGTATAATATCAAAGTAAAACCTATCCACCTGTTAATACTAAAGCAAACGTCAACACCAAATAGAATTCAGTCATTTAAACAAAATCCATTGTGCGGTAGAATATGTCCAGATTGTTGTTTTCTGGTTAGATTGAATACAAAATATTCTCGTTCTCAGGAAAAACAGGAAGAGTATGATTTGTTGGCACTGAAGAATTAATGTTTGCCTTGTTCCTGGCACAGTACGGACTTGCTAAGTTTCATTACCCAGGTTTTAAACCATTAGATTTGATCCACTTGAACAAAGTTACATGGTCCAAATCCAGGCATATCCAGCAAGCCATTTACAATGGTGAAATTGGATGAGGTGATGGAATATCAACCTGTAAATCTTGGAGTAAATGGTATTAATTTAAAAAAAAAAACTTGTATAGCAATTATGCAGGGTTATTCACCAAAGTGAGAATTGATGGGAATTCAACGTGAATTTCAAACTTAAGACCGAATATCTAAATCTGCTATGTCTCCAGTTCAGCTATTGTGGTTTAAAAGTTTTTAATTTACTTTGACTTTATGACAATTCTCACTTTAGAAAATAGCCCTTCTGCAGTGGACACATCAGAACAAAATGAACACAATTTTCATTACATATTATATGCAGATACATCCTAAACCATTTTAAAATAAATAAGAAGTAATGTTAATCAATGAGCATTAGTAAGAAGGCTCAAAGTGGGTAGAGCTACCCCCGATGCGGGCATGTTTATTCCTCTACTTCGCCAGCATTACAGAAGTGCCGCTTTAGGCAAATGTTTGATGTCATGCCAACAACCATTTAGGATTATATGTTAACCCACACAGTTTGCTGGCACTAAAAAGCCTACAATATTGCTTTCATCCTTCTCAAACTATACTTCGAAAATTCTAATAATAAAAAATGACCTTGCTTAAAGTGAAGTGGTCATTGTACATTTTCCATCTGCCATCAAAGAGCACTTTTAATAATGATCAACACAAGTAGAGTTTTTACTTAAGTGAGAATTCGAAGTGAACTCAAGGTAAAATTAGCCGAACTGGAAAAATTATCTAAGTCGGCAATGCTTCCATTTTGGCAAATTTGGCCTTGAATTTGAAATTCACTTTGAATCCTCACTTTCATAAGTACCCTGAAATATTTGATCCATTCTTTAGGCACAGTGTACAAAACATAAACTAACAGTTTTCTATTTTCTTTACAGTGAAATCTTGGAAGCAATTCTACAAACCACAGTGTTTGATTAGCTGCTATCCTCACATGCTTCCAAGATGGCTGCCCTCCTACTGAATGCTGGTGTTTTGAGAATCTGCATTCTCAAAAACACCAGCAGATTCCTACAACAAGGTATTTCACATTTTCTTTTAGTGGTATACCTGCTGTGTGTTATTAAATTACTATCTTTCCTTTCTAAAACATCTAAGAAGTATTGCAAGAGCATGGATACTGAACAACCTCTTAATTTATAACCATTTTAAACAAAATAATTCTGTAACTGCAGGTAATTTTGAGGAATTCCTGGAAATTAGGGTTTATTTTCCCTAACGTTACATGCGAAACATACATGTGTAACAAAAATGTTACACTAAATATTTTTCCTTAAAAAGTGTTAATTGTCAGTTATCAATACCGAAATTCAAATTTCAGGTCAAAATTGATTATTCTGAAAAAAGTAGGCTATGTTTGCAGTTCAACTATTATGGGGGGAAATTTTTAATTCCCTTTGAATTTATTGCCAGTTTATTAGAGGTGACCCTCCTTATCACAATGTATCCTGCAATAAACATGGCGCACCTCAACAAATTTTCTTCACACTACAATGCATGAATTGTCTGTTTCGCCATTCCTTGTCCCAAAGGTTTCTATTTGTAGTACTTTCTTTTCAATACTATAACTTTTCCAAAATAAAGGAACTCAATAGCCCGCCACAAACCTTTGTATCAATAAAATGACTTGAATGTCGTGGCCTTTCCATCTCACTCCTGTAATGTAAAACACTGTTGTTTTGGAGAAACAGCAATGTTTTTATTGTGGGGGCTTAACACACCTCTTGTGGCTGTTACACTAATAGTCACTAGATGCTCTCTCTGCAATCAGACCTGGTTCTTGACATTCGATGTCATCACACTTGCATGAGGATATCAAACATCCTCTGATACTTGTTATAGAGAAGCATTGTATTTAGTGTGTCTCTATGAGAAGCATCTAAATGGTGCATTGCGCATTAAGCCCACAATGATGAGAAGCATTTGATTGGACAAAATGGTCCTCATGCCTGATGATCTAAGTGGTGAAGGACGGGGCTTCAGAAAGGATGCTGTCTTGGTACTGGATTACATGCAAGTAAAGGGTTACATTTTAACTATTTTATTTAGTAAAAAGGGGGCCCTGAAATCTGAAAGACCCTACCGACACATTGGGGTACAAAATAATACAGGTTTAAAGATCACAATAGTGTTCTTTTAATGAAAAATGGTAAGAAAACAGCAGGAAACAGCTTAATTTTTGTTTTAATATAAATATTTAAGGTTCTAGCTATGATTTATTCAGTAGTGAGTCAGTCTATAAATCTTAAAGCAATTTATTCCCTAAATGCAAGCAAATGCAAAGATCAAAAATGTAATGGATCCATCAAATTTGAAAACTAAAAAGGGTTTCATGTTCAAATTAAACATTTTCCTTTGTAGTTCATTTGCATTTGGTGCTGTACAATGTCTGAGGTCTGGAAGCACAGCACCCAGACTGCTTATAAGTTAAGTCCAAGAAACCGTTTGACTAAAGGGGACTCATAACTTTGGAAAAACTGGGACTTAAAGCTGTAAGCTGTAAAGTCGTGTATGCCGACATGATTTCTTTGTACAGAAAGCATGCCCTGGCGGTGACTTTTTCAAATGACAGACGTGATGCCAGAATATAGCACTATAAATCCAAACGGGAGAACATATAAAATAATCTGCTTTGGGTCACTTCCTATGATATCAATTTAACCACCATAATAATATATAACATTTTTAAACTATTTTTCTGATATGTACATTGATTTTCGTTTCTGTGTGACCGAGCTTCTTTCCTCCTTTTAACAAAAATATTTAGCATATAGACGCAAAATAAATATATATAAATATGTTTTAGGATCCATTTTTTTATGTTTTGTGAGAGCTGTAGAGAAAGTGGCAGTAGGTTAAACAAAAGCTACTGTTTGGAGGTCTAGCTAATCCAATGTATTTTGATGATGCCCCTCTTCCCCTTGCATAAATTCCTAATCACCACTATTTATATGATGTTTGCAACATTCAGTCACAAAAAAAAAAAAAAAAACCTTACTTGTTACTCCAACTCCCACATCTCAATCCCAGTTCTAAGTTCATTATCATTCATCATTCGGACACGCTCACTGTTTCTGGATATAAAACACCACAATATCAAAATTCAGCTTTCCAATGGTTATAAAAAAAAATGTTTCCTATCATTTTCAGCCTTCCATATTGCAATCTGCATTTGTATTCCTCTGAGTTTCTTTATACCAAACATATACATAGTGATGTACTGATATATACTTATATCATGTATATAATGCAGAAATACATTCATATTTTCAAAAACACTTTTCCATTAATTTAAAAGCTTAAAGAACATCAGGTATTGGGGACAGCAGAGTGACAGGAGGGGACAAGCACAGATTGATAAAGAAGTAGCACTGTGCTTTGTTGTGTTTTTTTTTTTTTTTGCTTGATCGTACAATACAGACATGTAATACGAAATAGCTTGTGAATCTCATTGTCAGAATAGGGTATAGGGGAGTTTTTTTTCCAGCAAAAAATTCACCAAACAGGGAGGAAAATGTATGTCAGCCTGAAGAAAGGATCTCTGGAGAGAGTCAGTGGCAGCCTGGAGGGGGGAGGGTCTGTGCCAGACTGGAGGGAGAATCTGTGCCAGCATGGAATGACTGTCTTTGCCAGATTGGAAGGAAATTCTGGGCCAGTCTGGAGTGTGGACATTTGCTCTCTGGATGGATGGTCTGTCCCAGTCTAAAGAGATGGCCTGTGGTAATCTAGAAGAAGATTTAGTGCCAATCTGGACAGTAGGTTAATGCCCTATGGAGGGATGGTCTGTGCCAGTCTGCAACGTGGGTCTTTGTTAGGAGGAGGACCTATGCCAACTTGAGGATAAAATCTGGGCCAGTTTGAAGGGAAGACCTCTGTCCTTACACATCAGTGCTTATGCTTCGGCTGCGGGAAAAAGCTTCCCTCATGGCAGATAGCCGGTTGGGATTAAGAACCTGCATGTTACCCAGATTCACCGGTAGTTCAATCTCCTCCTGGCTGATTGTCTTGTAAGTGATGCGTTCCCCTCCATTGCGGATCTCTTCAGGTGGGTGCAGGAGGAACGCAGGGGCCTCATGGTGCGTGCAGCCCTGGCACACACTCCTGCAGTGCTGGTGCTTTTTGTTATATGGCGAGGAATAGATGGAAGGGCCATTCGCCAGCACTACATTCCGGTTACAATGCACCGGCGGGAAGCGAGAATGCACGGCAAAGTCAGGCTCCTCCTCATCCTCTTCCGAATCTTCCTTTTTGCAGCAGTAGTACTGAAAAAGAAAACACAAAGACTTGATTACAAGATGATCGTAACACTCTTAAAATCAGAAAGTTTTTATTCACTAAACTTGAATTCTGGGAGAATTGACAAGCGAATTGCAAATTCTAGACCTATTTAGCTGAAATGAGAAAGGTTTAGTAGGTAACCACATAGAGTATCCAAAGGAAAGGAAATGTGATGTACTACTCCAAGTATAATTTGCTTACATAGAATTGGGGTGATCACTAAAAGGCCAGGAACGCAAACATGTATTCCTGATCCTATAGTGTTAAAACCACCATCTTGGCCCCCTTAATATAGTATAATCTTACCTTTATTCCGGTCTGCTGCTGGTGCTCGCTCTGCCCCTGATCTGCCTGCTTGGCTGACATCATCAGAAGTGTTATTCAAAGCCAATCACAATGCTTTACATAGGAAATCATTTGATTGCCTGAGCTTGTTACGGGGGCAGATAAGGGCAGAGCCAGCACAAGCCAAACGCAGCCCTGGCCAATCAGCATCTTCTCATAGAAATGCATTAAATCAATGCATCTCTATGAGGAAAGTTCAGTGTCGACATGCAGAGGGTGGAGACATTGAATGTCAGGGTTGACCTCAGCCACAGATAATACACTGAACTCTCCTAAATAAACATACTGTGAAATATATCTATACAGAATCTTCTGAGAATTCACTGAAGTGTGGCTTGTCAAAACAAATGTAAAAGTAATTTGAAATTTTAGGCCAAAATATCAAAACTGGCTTTAAATTTTTTTTGAAGTTTGCTATTTTGTCCTAAAATTTTAATTCCTCACAATTCACACCTATTGAGACAATCTAAGCACCAAAACAACTTTATCCCCATTAAGTGGTTTTGGTTTATAGATCACAACCCTGCAGTCTCACTGCTCAATTTTCTGCTATTTAGGAGTTACATCACTTTTTTTTTATCTCCTTGCATGTGACCTACACAGTTTCCCTACACACTTCCTGTAATAAGATATATATTTTTTAACTTGTTTAATTGCTCATTGTGTTTAATTTAGCATTTTGTTTCTCCTGCTCTGTTAATAGCATGCTAGAGCCTCTAGGAACACTACGTGTGATTAAAGTTCAACTGACAGAGCAGTAGATGATAACAGAACTTCTACAGTAAACACACTGTGCTGTATGATCTGAATAAAAATTAAACAATTTCTTTCATGCAAGTTGTGTGAGCCTCAGCCAGGGGAGGTGTGGCTAGAGTTGCATGAACAGAAACAAAAGAGACCACAGGGGCAGTGATCTATACACAAAACCTGCTTCATTAAGATAACGTTGTGGTGCATAGAGTGTCCCTTTAAGCAATGCTTAAATAGTGACATGTCACATCCATTCTAATTAATTAATTTTACATTAATTACAACATCTAAAATCCTAGTGCATCTCCCTTGCGCTCACTTACCTGTAGCCTACAGTAGCAAAGAACCGCGATTATACAGAGAAGGATAACAGTCGCTAATATTCCACCGGTGATGACAACAGTCCCGGCTGTCATTCGACCTTCTCTCCATTAACCACCTACAACACACAGTTAAGGACAATGAGTGGCACTTGTCATGATGTATAAGTCACAGCACAACACAATAGCTATTGATCGAGCAAAACAAGGCAAAAAGGAGCAGCCGGCAACATAATTTACCGTAAGCAAAATGTCCACGGTAGTGAAAAAAATGTTCTTCCACCTGCCATCTCTTAACTCCTTCAAAACCAGTTCAGGCTGAACCAAACTGCAGTGGCACTTAACCCCTAGGATGACAGATAGGTGTATTCACACGATGCTCTCTGGCACTTACAGGGTTAAATATTGTGTGCGGATATAGACATATCCTGCATGTATCTGGCACCAAATGTCACCACTAAATAAAACAGAATATTGACCTTGTTTGTGTGTGTAAAAAAATTCTGTAAAATAAGGTGAAATTTTACTTACTTACCTTGAATCCAGTAGGCCAAGCTCTCCGAGGATCTTTCCATTCCTCCATGGTCACACCTCATTAGCCATTCCCTGGCCACAGTCCAATCAATTGCTTCTCATAGATAACCTGTTGGACTTTGGGTGCAAGCATGGCAACCACCGTGACCCTTCAACCAACTACATCTGATAGAGAATCATAGAATCCAATAGCTCTCCATCGGAAGCAGTGATCACTACACTGTGGCGAGATGAGTGGAGTGAAAACTTGTCTCGCTGCTACAGCCCGCTCATGATCCAATCAATGTGAATTCTGACATGATACCCAGTGTGTCTTAGTCAATGTGGGGTTTTGTATAAAGAGTAACTGTCAGCCAAAGTTCTAAAGGTATAGCAGTCCCAATGGAAATCAATGGAATGTTACTAGGTCCTCCTTTTTCAAGGTTTGTTCTTTTTAACGATTTCACAGACATTTCACATCTGGACATTACTTGCGGATGAGATCTGTATGATAGGTGACAGACTGACATTCTCTATGTAATGGCACATGTGAGCAAAGACTTGTTTGAGACCTCAGCGAGGACGGTTTAGAACATTGTGGTTTTTTACTTGGGGTCCACTGGGCAATGCCTGCCTCTACTACTTCTGACCGAGAGCCAAAAGCCCAGTGTTGCAAGTAGCTCACTGGCTGAGAGCAATCAGTTTACGATCTCCACCAATAACCTCGGTCTGCACTGCAGGGCTTAGCATAGGAGCGCTAGCAGAAGTTTCTGTAGATGTTGGCAGTGACCCAAGGTAAAAATTCAACTATTCTAAAACATGTTAACTACTTACAATGGGGGGAGCACCAGGGCACTCCTGGACCAAAACCACTACAGTTGTGGTTCCTCACAATGTGTATTAGTTACTCAGACCCTGGATTTACAAAACACAAGAATTAAAAGTAGCAGGTTCTTCAGATAGGTGTCACGAAACGCATACTTTTTACATTTTTTTTTGTCTAGACCTTGAGATTTGGGAAGAGACCAACACAGCTGGCTGCAGAATGTCTGCTCACATGGAATTTAGCACAGAAACACTCAGCTCGTCCTCAAGGGAACTGCAGCAAGCATGTGATGGGGGCTCCTTGTTACCCACACATTACCAACCTCATCCAGTAGCCCAAATCTGCCACCTTAACCATTTATATGACAGCAAAAGGCATGTGCTATTTAAAGGCATAAGGAACTTTGAGTTTTTCATATAAACATCTTTATTTCTTAATCTTGGCTGATATAACTGCAGGGTCAGATAGCATCTCGTAAATCAGTTTTTATTAAAATACATCCCCACACAATGCATCTGATCCAGTTCTCTTTATTTTTCTATGAAATATGAGGGTTTTGTTTTCTCATTTAACAATGTCAAGCAGATTTTATATGCTTATATAAATCTTCAGGAATCACGGTGGTCCAGGCATGTTTGTGTCATTCCCTTACAATTGGCTTTTGTTTGGATTGTCCGCTGTAATTGGAATTGTGTTCAAATTAAATAAAAAGAAAGATCTTTGGCAGTATTGGGAGCCCATGTGAATATGTTCACTGGAGAGAAGGCAGCGCTCGGCAATAAAGACATTTATGACCTATTTAATAGAGAGGGCAAACAGGCAGGCTCTTTTATTGTGAAGAAGCTGTAAAACTAAATTGATTTTGTACCAGGTGGAACCACCAATGAAAAGCTCCTTAGGGTTCCTTGATGGATATGTTATGTCTTTCTAAATCCAGAGGGAGGTGCCATGTAGCTGTCTAAGTGATGGCGTAGTGGCAGGCGCTCTGTACCTTCAAGTGGAGGAGGTAGGGAAACAAATCTTACAGATAACCCACTAGTTCATGGCTCACTCATATCTGATTCCCGATTCAAAGATTTCAAACATCTCGATGCGGAAAAAATAAGAAAAAGAAAAGAATAGGGACACACTCATCATCATTCACTGAAAAGTGAATTGTAAGAGTTTATTGCCACTCCATTACAATGGTTGGCATTTCAGACTAGGATGCGCAGATGAATTGCATTAACAACACTAATTTGTAGTGTGAGAGAGCATCTTTATCCCACAGAACTTGAAGGGATACTCCAGGCACCATAACAACTTCATCACAATTAAATTGTTATGGTGCCTGAAGTAGTTTTTTTAAGTGCTTTTTTCCTCACAAACAATCTTGTTCTTCTTTGTCTAGAGGTAGGAAGTAAGTAGCCCTGGGCAATGTGTGAGACACTCCAGAAAAAAACAACCGTACCTCAATTTGGGTAAGGATTTAGAAGTCTTTGGGTTTTACATGCATGATTCAGTAGGCAGAGTCCGAGACCTTTTACCCATAACTGGCTATAAGCGGCCGCCTGGGGCCTGGGCTTAGACAGGGGCCTGATGAGCTGGCAGGACCTGATGCCATGTCACAAAGCAAAAGATCGCCTTGAGCTGGCTGAACAGGCATGACACCAATAGATACACAGTCCTCAGATCCCAGTCTAAAAGAAAACAAGTGAAATGAGGTGAAACAGCAGGTTCACATCCTTAGTTTGTGTCGAAATCCATGATGCTACCGATCCTGCATGGACTCAGATTCCCAAAGGATGACCGTTCACCCTTTTTGGTGCACAACACAAAGAATTCAGAGTGATGTAGGGCAAAAGGGGTTAATGTCTGTTATTAGAAAATCATACGTAATAATGTGTCAAAACACTCAGCTGGGACACTCAATGCACAAGACTTGTAACAGGTAGATAATAACATTTGTAGACATCCACATCTGGCATTCACACAAAACCCCACAATAAAAGTAAACACAGTATGTACTCTGTGCTCTCAAATCGTAACTCATAGCTCATTATCTGACAGGTAACTAACTGAATGTCTAAATATTTTCTCAAACAATGGCTGTTCTGTAGAGGAGTTATATTGCTGCCCTATGTCATGATGTAAAAGAATTTGCCTAGGTTTCAAGGGGTTAATGAAGCCTACGCGGTGTACATGTAAACCAACAGACTGTTCCTAACGCCTCCTTACACAGAACCCCATATTGCATATTGTGTGAGGTTCATGCTTTTATTCAAAGGGGTAACAGCTATTTATGGGGGTGAGCTGGGATTGATCGCAGACCTCCATCAGATCCACTTTACCCAGAGTTCCGTTTGTGTTGGCTCCACAAGCTGTGTGGATGTCAGACAGCCGGCAGAGCCATTTAATAAATCTGTGATAGATTAGTTTTGTCAGATGGGGAAAAATAGAAGTGAGAGGGCAATAGCATCACGCCGTGGCCGCTTACACTGACCTAATACTCATACCACCAGTTAGAATAATGTGAGCTGACAGGGGGCCTTCTGGGAAACCTGGCGCGTTCATATCTGACCATGTGAGAGCGGTAATGGCTGTTAGTGTATCGCCTAGGAGCGCTGGACTGCACTAACTCTTATACGTTATATAATAACACTTTGGAAAGAGAGCCTATGCCGCAACTAGAGTGGCAGAATTTTAACCCTGTCACTGCTGCATCCTACCTGTATTTTTCCCTAGAAACTAAGAATAAACGGCACAATAGCAGGTGCTGTGCTGCTAACAACCCTTCACATATCAGAGGAGAGCCTGACCCATCATAACGAAATCAAATGGTTTTAGTATTTTGCCACCCTGTTGATATAAATTATTGGGGAAGGTGAGGTCCAGGGAAGCATTGCTCTGCAAGGTGTAGCAATATGTACTGGCAGTGGGCGAGTTAACATCACAGAGACAAGGACGTTTTATTACTTAATTTCAGTTAAGAAGAATAAAGGGTAAAATGTATTTAATGTACCATGGTGGATGGAAAAGAAAACAAAAATTTCTGAGATTTCAGTAAATGAAACCATATAAACCCAATGCAGCAGTGTTAACTCATATAAAGCTGCCAAACATTAGCGGTCTGCTCTCCGGACACTAGTGACCGTTTCATTTAATGGGCCTGTTGAGTGCCTACAAACTAGCGCCAAGCAACTCAAATCAAAGGGGGAAAATAAACAACTAATCTATTAGCAGCTACCCCAACCCTTCACAGGAAAACAGTAGCGATACATTGTGTTAAGACGCAAATCTAAAGTGTATCCTGGGACCGAGAAGTAAGTATCTTCAGCCAATTGTGCCACTGCCGTCAGTGGAAACACAGTTTACATCCTATAACTCACTGCTCATCAGTCAATAACCTCCTAAACGTGAGAATCACACACCACAACCCTAGATACCTGGAACAGCCTTCCAGCTGAAGCAGTAAAGACTAACAGTGATATAGAAAGTGTAGTAGATACCTGGAACAGCCTTCCAGTGGGAGCAGTAAAGACTAACAGTGATATAGAAAGGGTAGTAGATCCCTGGAATAGCCTTCCAGTGGGTGCAGTAACAGTGATATAGAAAGGGTAGTAGATACCTGGAATAGCCTTCCAGTAGGAGCAGTAACCGTGATATAGAAAGGGTAGTAGATACCTGGAATAGCCTTCCAGTGGGAGCAGTAACAGTGATATAGAAAGGGTAGTAGATACCTGGAATAGCCTTCCAGTGGGAGCAGTAACAGTGATATAGAAAGGGTAGTAGATACCTGGAATAGCCTTCCAGTGGGAGCAGTAACAGTGATATAGAAATGGTAGTAGATATCTGGAATGGTTTATTAATGTTTATTTTTTATTTTTTAGCCCACAAGCCTTAAAATAAAGAACATGTTTCTTGCACAGTCATAAACTGTAATACTGCTGTACTGATATGAAAATACTGACCCAAATAATTTTACAAGATTAGCAAAATCTATTCTATGCAAAACTGTAGTGAAGCTGATCACTGCTACCACCTAGTGTCAGGATAGCATAATTCAGATTTAATGTCAAAATGCTCAGAAAATACAGAATGCAGACATACAGCGGACGAAGGAGGTCAGGCAATGTGACACAGGTCATATAGCATTTATCTAGAAATAGACATGTTGGAGGGATATCTGTGAAGCCTATGGAACGGGCATGTGGCAGCAATGTGCATTATTTACTTTATAATGCTGGGGACAAAGGATACTTAATTTGTTAATTTACTAAGCTATAAAAAAAAAAAAAGTAATTGTAGCCTAAAGCAGAGACAGATTTGTTTGCTTATTTTTAGATTTTAATACCCGTTCACAAGATTTTAACTACAAGCAAATGTGTAGATCAAACTGGATTGGACTTGATTTTATCTTATTGTTCTACGCCAAACAGATATAATCCACACTGCTGTATATATGGCGGCACTGACAATGCAGTGTGGTATATAAGCTGGGTTTGGCATTCTACGATGACGCACTTCCTACATCAAATACCCACATACAAGTTGTGGGTACATTGGTAACTATAACATTTACAGGGTTGTTCACTAAATGGATTACCGAATTCCAACAGCATTGGCAATTCTCATATTTAAAGGGAAACTATAGTGCCAGGAAAACAAACGTATTTTCCTGGTACTATAGCTTCCGCCTTCATCAAGACCCCTCCACCCATTATGCCGAAGAGGTTAAAAAACCCTTCTGTCACTTACCTGGGACCAGCACCGATGTCCCTCAAGCACTGGCTTGAGTCCGCCTTCTCTCCTCCCCCGCTGACGGGGGAGACTTAATCCACATTGCACTGCAATGCTTTCCTAGGGGGTTTGGGTAAAGCTGGATGTCCACATGCATAGCGTGAGGACGTCCAGTATCAGTTAAGTAACCAAAAGTTGCCTAACGATCCGGGAGTTCCTCTAGTGGCTGTCTGGTAAACAGCCACTAAAAGTGGAGTTAACCCTAGCAGGTAATTATTGCAGTTTTTTAAAAACTGCAATAATTACCTGCTCAGGGTTAATGGACCCGGCACACTTCACCCAGACCCCATCAACAAGCTGAAGTGGTCTGGTTGCCTATAGTGTCCCTTTAATCAAATACAGTCAAACTTCTGTCTCTCTGAGCGAACTTGCAGCAATTGCTTGCATGCATTTGGTGTCTGAATTAAAATCAGTGCTTTCGCATCAGAATCATATTGTAACAGACCATTTTGCCCACAAGAGGATATTCCCCTTTCTCAGCTGCACAGACAGCTACTGCAAGCACCAATCTCCCGAACTGCAAACCCACGAATTCACCAACTCCCGAACTGCAACCAAGGGAATACTCGAAACTCCCAAACTGCATACCAAGTAGCACTCCAAACTCCCGAACTGGAGACACACGAATAGCTGCTAGCAGACGAACAGGAAAAGCCCCCAAGCGGCTTACACTCCTGGCAATCAGTCTCTAACAGCATACAGTAAATCCTCCCCCAATAATGAGACGACACTGCACTTTGAGGATTAAGCAGGAACTGATTTACTGGGGCTAACTGCCCGGCTTTTATGCAGGTCTCCCACCTGGTTGACACTCCCCTAGGGGACCAAATGGGAGACTGGGACACAAAGGGTAAAATGACCAATCACAGACTTACACATTTCAACCATCCCACAATGCATCACAATCCCTCCTCTCTGCCCTGCCCAATTATCTCCAAAGACAGAGGCAAAACTCCATTAACCACATGGCAGAAAAACAGTAAAAGACATAAAATTACCTACAATTACATTCAGTACATAAAACATATACGTTCTACATATCCCCAGATAGCTCAGATCTGAGCGCACATTATTAGCGAATGGCGCTCAGATCACATACATACAGTTCAATCGCCATGGAGCCAAAGTCCTTCACATAGTCTTTTCGTTACATGAACAGGCTCCATGGCTTAGCTATCTGGGTGATGCTGTTCATCCGGTTAAACTACCGAATGAACAGTCATTCGGTTCCGCTCTCGAATGGGAAGGGAAGGAGGCTGGCGGCCCAGCGGTGTTCGCGCAATTAAGTGTCCGTTTTCAGTTCCATAGTTTAGGTGCTGAACACCGCTGGCCGTTCGGGAGGTAAAATGGCCGCTGCCACGTGTTCGGCAACCGAACAAAGGCCTCCCAGCGTTCATCAATTAAGCTGCGGTTAACCGCAGCTTCTGGGCGGTCAATTGACGGCACACTCCAGTTCCCAGGTGGTCCATCGTTCGGTAGTTTGTTCGGTAGATTGAATCTACCGAACACCCTGGCAGAAAGGCATGAATAAACCTTTCAGCAGGGAAAATAACAGGTCTGAACTGCAGGGCCATAGTCTAAAGGGAGCAGGCGAGCAACCAGGCTTCTCCAGTGTACAGTGGCGAGGTTGGTTTCGCCACACATATACTATGTGTAGGATATGGAGGTTTAATAAACTGATCACCGTGGTGTTGGTTTATATAAAATAACAAGGTGTGGGCAAAGTCCCCCTCCCGTGCCCCCACGTATGGGCTTTGGGTGAGCGACTTAAATAACTTGTTTCACAGTCCCCATCACCATGGGGGGCTTTCTTGAGATTTGGCAGCAATGGCTGCCCAGGCGCTATTTTTTTTTTTTTAAACAATAAATAGAGATCCCCCCACCTGCAGGAGGTTTAAAGGTTAAAACCTCCCTCATTGTACCCCCATAGGATTTCATTTTTTTTTTTATAACAACCATGTTACAGTTCTCCTGCCCTTCCCATGTGTGCCCTTTAAGGGTTAATAAGTGTATAGAGGTTCATAAGAATTCCCCTTTCTGACTCATTTTGCCTTTTATCTGAAAACATCAAGGTGAATTGTTAGCATAGCTCTCAGTTAGGAGGTTTGCCTTGACAGGTGAGCTTACACCTTAATGGCTGCTGGAGTGAAACTAAAAGTAATATGGGGACCTTGTATAATTTGCAATGACATCGCTGCTAGGGAGGCAGGCAAAGTTGAGTTCTACTTACCTGAACCAGTCCCAAGCGGGCGCTGCCATTCTTTTTCCGGCGCTTCAGCTGCCAGGACCAACGTCATTGCTCTACTCTCTCGTACGTGCGCAAGAAAGCAGCAGAGAGGTCTATGGAGGATCTCACAAAACTGCGCACACATGGCATACAGTGCATTGGAGGAGGGAAAACACAAACACTGTTTTTACTCCTATTCCTCCATGTACTTTGTTCAACAGCAAAACAGTGATTGAAAGGAGACAAGATGGAAGCACTCCATCAGAGGCACAGAGGCAAATAAAGTAATACAGTGTGTAGATTTATATATTTAACACATATTTAAAAGTAAACATAATGTTAAAAATCCTGGGCAGGGATGGTTTTTCTCGAACAATCCATTTTTCTTGCATTGTAGTGAAAGTGTCTGTGTGAGTTTTCCATCTTTTGAATCGCAGGATTGCTGTTTTGGAAAAGACACAGTGTATCACATCTGCAAAGATCCTCCCTGCAGCGCAGCTTCCCCACCAACCTTGCACATGTCATCATACGATCTGCAGGACCGCGGGAGCAACTGAGAATCTTCATTACCAGCCAGGATGGGTACCAGGCTCCTACTGTTCATCCTCCAATTCACACAGGAACGAGATATTGTGTAGTGCATGCCGAAACAGCTTGCAGAAGATCCTGCTGAATTCTTAATATATCCCCGTGGACTATAAACAGCTTAAAAGCTTTATTACAAGTAAAGTGGGTCTTGAGAATTAACTTCACACCAATCTCCTGCCTTCCCGCTGCATGGCATGAGCTCAGAGTTAGCACAGTGACTATGTGTAGATTCACTGTAGTTTTCCAAGCACAGCTGGGAGAGTTAACTTCTTTGCAGGTATTCAGTAACGTGTAGGTGCACGACCCTGCTTTTAAAAGGTCATACATCATTTCTCCAAGGCCATCTTGACTCTGCTCTCCCTGGAAGATCAGTGTTTTGCAAAACCCAAAGACTAGTCATTTCCGTGGCCTCTATTCCAAGGCCATGGGCTTTCAAGTGTAGGATAGCTCCCGGCAATCTCATCTCTACAGTTAGTGGTTTCAGGAGAAAAATAAGAAAAAAATGGATGGTTTGGAGGAAGCTTCAATTAATAATTAGACAAGTCAATTAAGTATATGTAGAGGACCGTTTGGGAGCATAGAAGTGGAAAATGGAGGTTACATTTCGAGGAGAAGCGTAATACAGGAATCATGTTCCACACTGTGGGTACAATAATGGATGGAAATTGCAGAATTAATAGACTGTGTAGCACAGTGAACAATGACCATTTTAGATGAACTTTTTGCACGTTCTGGAAGCAGATGGCTGTGTATAGACATATTTCAAGCATTGTTTGAAGGAAGCTCAAAATTTGCACACCAGCTGAGAATATATCAGTTTACAGAGATAAATCAATAACTCTATCTGTCCAGGAAAGGTTAAAGGATCTTAACACGTATAGCTTGGAGGAAAGACGAGACAGGGGGGATATGAGAGAAACATGTTGAGAGGTGTACTATGTAAGTTAGCTTGGTATATCTACCTGAATGCACATGATTTTCAGCTTTGCAGAAGGAAAAACATACCATGAATATATTACACACTTAGAATGCAGGTCCATAAGCCCAATCCCCCAGTTTTTAGGTTTGTTCATTCCATCCTAACATTCCAAATGTAAAGGGTCAAAGCATTTTTTAACTCAAGGACGCATACGTTAATATCTTGCATTCTATCAATTCGTAGCATATGTTGCGCACTTTTTTTCCCCTTCAGAATAAGCACAGAGATGTTTCAAATCATCAACAAAACTTATCTGTTACCATTTTCATAAAACATAGTCATGTAATCCTTGAAAATTTCACACATAAACTTCTGCAATGACAGTAGGCAGCCATATTAGACTGGGCCTCCTTTATTCCTTTTTTATTGCGCGCCACCAAACACAAGTTCCGAAAATATAAAGTATGTAGAAAATAAAACTAGGATGCTTAGCAGAGCAACAGATTCACAGACCAAGTGGAAAAAAAAATCCTGACCCACTTATAGTGTGTTTATAATACTGCTCCATATGTCTGTTCTTGGAGTTATTATATAACTGTAATGACCCGGGGCCACCCACGTGATGGAAAATCTTTTTTTCCTCTCTGCAAATTTCATTTTTAGGACACGGTCAAAATTTAACAATTACAAAAATGTGCCTGTTGAAAGGTTGTTTTTCACCCAAAGCAAGCCATCGCTACTCACTACTGGCATGACTGACTAACCGTTTACATCTTTATGGTTTTATTGTCCAAGGAAAATTATTTTCTTTTTCGCGCTGAATAAGATTAAATGACAAACTTACAGCCACCATATTTCAGTAAGAAGCTCATTAACTAAACAGTACCAAAAGAGTCGTTGACAAAATAAATCCAATTCAGTTAAGTTGGAGATTTCACTTTCAGCTCACCACGACCAAACATTTAATGGAAAAACTCTCAAAGTCAATAATGCGTCACTGATGCTGCCAAAATAGGGTGGACCTACCCAGAAAGGGGCGGGTCCGCCCTAAGGATTGGCAGGTCAGTCTGGTGTGAATGCACGGCAGGCTACCTGTCATGATCCATGTTGGCCCACTGAAGGCAGACCATGCAGGGAGCTCAGTTTCTAATGATGCGATGGCTAATGATGCTCTCTCACTACACTTTTTGGGGGCCAGTTCCTTGATGTCCCCAAAAGAAGGACACTAGAGAACAGAGTCAAGACAGCAGGATATGAGCTATTTACTAAACTGTGAATTATTGGGAGTTTACCAGGAAATGCAAATTCAAGGCCAAACAGTGCCACGGATAAGCCACAGCCAGGACAAATATAAATTGGAACAAAACCAGATAGAAGGAGAGATGCTTTTATTACTAAATACAGCGAATCAATAAGTACACTGACCTGTACTTTGCAATAAACTGGCTTACGTGATGACAAGCCGTCTGTCCTCTAAATTACAGCTATTTTATGTCCTCAAACGTGACCTGGCTCAAATAGCGATGTTCCCTGCTTGGACTAAACCTTTAAGGTTCAGATTCTCTCTCTGAAATGCTGACAGCGCAGTTGATCAAATTGATTGTTTCATTTTGAGTAATTTGCCCACGTCGTCTCTTTTCACCAACTCTGCGTGAGATCAGCAGTTTGCTTCGACGCTGCTCGTTGGTGGATTACTGTAAACAAAACAAAAAAATGATTTTTCAATCACTCCTTTCTGGAAGACGGGTGCCGTGTCCTGTACAAAGCCAAAAAATTCAAATCACGGAGAAAGCAATACTTCACAGGACATCTAGTTCCAACTAGTAACCACGCAAACGCCATGGCTAAGGCTAGACTGCAATTGGGTTTTTTTCTATTTCAGAAAATCAAAAAGACATTGTAAAACAAGAATTGTCAAGAACCGACCAGGAAAATGGAAATTTTATGCCGAAAGCAGAAGTATATAAAAAAAAAAACATTTTAAGGATTTTTTCCAGTTAGTCTTTTTTGTTGTAAAATTTGCAATTATCAATCTTTGACAAATTTTCAGCTCCGCTGCCTTCAGAACACTGATGGGATACAACACACAGAGCCCCCTCTCCAATTATATCCTAAGAAATCAATCACTCAAGAGACTATAATGCATATAAAGTCAATTTCATGCATGGCCTTAAAACAAGGGGCAGGAATAATGCAAGGCCCTGGATGAATCTATTGGGATTTATAATTATTGCTAATAAACAGACATATAGCACAGCATTTTACACAGGTATATATATAAAAAAACACAAATAAATGATAAGCAAATACAGATGAAGGAAGGTGAAGAGGGTTAAAGTTGAGCATTTAGGTAATTTTTCCGGCTCAGTCAAGCTTACAATCAAGGAGATCGGATAATTCCAAAATAAAGTTGGGTCAGTAATAAAATATGATGGATACAAATCAGAATTGCAAATGAAGGCAAAAATATGAAATAGAGGAATTCTCAAATGTAACGATAGTCGTATTTTGGCTACTTCTGTCTTAATTTAGCAGTTTGAATATTAATTGAGACTATGTAATCACACACTCTTCTTGCCCTGTGGAACAGATACCCAGCTTTCTTTGGCATTAACTCTATTGGCTCTGGGCAACATAGAGAAGGGATACATTAGACAGAGTTATATTATAAATAATCATGTTTGTCCCGAAATTATGGTAAATAGCAAAAAAGATTTGTAAAATTTGACTTTACAGACCCTTTGAGGTTTTAGAGGGAGGAATCCAAATTCGGGATTTTAGGTTTTCACTGCGTTGTGGATATCTTGATCACTGCTACAAATCATCGAATGACACTCCAAACCTCGTAATGCGAATGTCACAGCCTTTGCAACTGTATCCAGTCAATGATGCCGAGGTAAGTAAACTGATCAGGGTCCGTGGCCGGTGACAGATCTTGTCCTGGAGCCTCAGTCAAGAATGGAAAATGCCACAGTTACGATGGCAGAAGGAGGCAGGCAAAAAAATTAAAAGAAGCTATAGAAGCTCAGATTTAACATTGCTGGATAAGATTTTCAAATGATTTCATATTTTTGAATAAACTTCTAAAATGATTTTTCAAAATATTAAAATGTCACAAAACAATACAGATGAAAAAACATAATATACAAAAATATCAAAATATGAAATCATTTTAAAAGCTTATCGCAAAATATTAAATCATTTGAAACGATTACCCAAAAATATTATATTGAGGTCTTTATTTTAAAAAGTGAAACGTGGATACAAATGGCAAGTTTAAACCTACTTAAAGGAACACTATAGCGTTAGAAATACAAACCTGTATTCCTAATGTGTGCCCTAGTCTATAGTTGAGGGCAACCCCAACTGCAATAAAAATGTTTTTTGTTTTTTTTTAAAAGGACCTTCTCTCCAGCACTAAGACTCTCTCTGTGTTCCTTCCCATGCCATCTCCTGCGACGTCACCCAGCAGGCATCGCTCTCTAGTCGATGGTCCAGTCGAAGGTTCCTTAATGCATATCCAACCAATGATTTCCTATGAGCTGCATTTGGTAAGATGACCAAGTTTTAGATTAAGCACCTCTAGTGGTTGTCAGGAAGACAGCAACTAGAGGTGTGTACAACCCTGCAATGGAAACATTACAGTTTCTACTAAATGTTAAAGTTTTACATTGCAGAGTTAAAACTACAAGCCAACAGCACCCAGACCCCTTCATTGAGATGATGTGGACTGGGTGCATTTAGCAATCCTTTAACAAGAAGGAGAAACTAAAACCTGATCCTAAAAGCTTACAATCTAAAAGAGGTAATGGGTGACTAGATACTACGAGACAGTGAAGACAAACATCAACAGTAAAGGAAGGGTCAATCGCCTGCCTACACTACCATGGGGTGTCACTTACAGCCCCTGGTGACACAGCGAGTATGTACCATGGATGGCCAAATACAGGCCCCCCAGTTGACAAAGCATTATGGGATTTGTAGTTTTACAACTTCTGGGGTTCACCTTTTGGCTACCCATACGCAGTACTTTTTTTTGCACCACGCCATGTTGAATAGCCACTGCGCTGAGCCACCACAGCCATTTACGATCGTCCTTTCATGAACAAAGCAAAGGTCTGCTTAAAGGGACACTCCACTGGCCAAATAGAAAATATATATTTTTTAAAAATCACTGATTAAATGAAAACTTACATACATTTAATTGTGTATTTTTTCATTTAGGTATATATATATCTGATTGAAAGCTAAGGGGGTGCAACCAATATAATTTATAAAAGTGTAAATTTGTATTGAAATCTGCACTTTTTGCAAATGATAAAAAAAGGACACACCCGTCACACATGAAGCTTTACAGCAAAGTTAGATGATTTAGGGGTCTTGGTGTCCCTTACTTTACTGTTTTAATGTGTGGAAGATTTGATGTTTTTTGTGTGTTACAACATTTATTATCCATTTTCTAGTTTATTTCTTTCTTTTTAAGAGAACCTACTGTTTTACTTAAAGGATAATGTTAACCCTTCTTTGTTATACCAGCACTTTAGCAGTGTTTATTATCATGTGACACTTTACACAAAGCTTGCACCAGAGACACTTTTTTCTTATATTTTTGCAAATAAAGGTGAAGTGTGTATTATATGAATCCAATGTAATTGTGAGTCCTGCAAACGCAGCCTTTCCCCATAACATACAGCTGATTATTATGCATGTTCTATCGCTTTCTCCATATATATATATATATATATACACTTTATCTTTTGTTAACTTACTCTGAATTACACATAACAAACACTCATCACTCCAAGGACAACATGCTTTGTTCCCATAGAGAATAACCATTGTTTTTCCCTGTGTTGTTCTGTTCGCTACCTTTTTATTTTAGACAGGTTAACTCTGCTTTGAGAGTAGAGAATAGACAATGGAACACTTATTCTGATTTGTGCATGGTCCATTCTTCCCGCAAAGGCTTACTATATTAAGATAAAAAAGTTGCATTTGAGAAAGGCTTGGATTCTGTCAGAAACATTATAGCAGATATCTGGCCCTTCACGGACTCACAGAGGGCACATACCTATTATAAAAGGGGCATTGCAAGGTTAGAAATCAGGTTAATGGCCTGAGGTTTGAGACTTTTATAGAACTTCCCGCCCTTTATAAAACACTATCAAATAACCACCGCACATTTCCTTTGAGCCATTTTAGTAATGCTAACGCAAATGCCCAAAACTTGAAAGACAGCCTAAGACAATGGTTTTAACCCTGGGTCAGAACCAAACTTGTTTTGGTCAGCTTGCTATTAGTGGGACCCCAACAGACAGAAAGTCACATTAGATCCACCATGCCCGAAGCAACTGAAAACAAACTGGATAGTGCATCAGCCTCATTACCGTACTTATTGCAATGGAGATCTCTCCAGGAAGAGTCAGATTGTCCAGTTGAATAACTGGTCGACAAGCTATCCTGTGTCCTAAAATACAGGACTTATCTCTACAGATCTTCAAACCTTCAACTGGTATTTTAGCATGTGAGATCAACTACTATTTTAGGGTTTCACTATGAATGAAGCTTCTTCTGTACTGGGATTGTGCCTGATATCTCATTTTATAAACCTGTAAATGGAGCTGCATTGCAACTGCTATCAGCTTGGGCAGACATTCCATTAATCAATGAAAATTTAAAATAAATGGAGCGGTTACCTAAGCCACTTCCTGGTCTAAGCAGCACTCACTACAACAACTGAAAACCCTTAAGATTGGTAGCAAATGCGGAACATCAAAGAAAACTATATATATATATATATATATATATATATATATAATACACAAGATCCAGCGCACTCACCTATCCACTAAACAGCAACTTCAATGTTGAAAGATTTTATAAAAAACACCTAATCTAGGCAAAAATAATGGGGGTTTAGTTACATTATATGATCATACATTGCATAAGCCTGCCACAACGTCAATGTACCCCATCTTTAGCAGGTCCTACACTAACAGCCTAATGTCTGCTCTTATGAGATTAACCTACTTGGGGAAAAAAAAAAAAATTCCATCTGGGGCTCTCTGCAGTACAAGGCTAAACCCCCTCTTGTTTTTATATATATATATATATATATATATATATATATATATATATATATATATATATATATATATATATATATATATATATAAAAATTTCCTTGCTTGCAAATTTATAATGCATTATCCATAGAATGTATTACATAAACAGGATAAACTCCAGCCTAAAGTAAAATAGCCCGGAAATTGCTAATCCTTTGGGATTAAATAATGACACAAACAATGTCCCCTATACTAGCACAGGACACAAACACACAATCTTACATAGATAACCTCCTGAATTTATTAAATCCTGGCTGTAGTAACTACAGAAATACCCCGAGGGAACTCTTCTTAGTATTTTGCAACTTTGTAATAAATCGTGTGTAATAAACATTAAAATACAGTTGTTTCCTTTATCATCTAAGCAGAGACAATGGACAAACAGATACATAATACGAGATGACTGTTTCAGAGTCTTCTATTCAATCCCTAATCTATTTTGCTAATGATGTCCAATTGTACCGCGTCCAGTTCCAAATCGTGACGAGCCTTTCTCTTGTGTTTATCTTTCCCTGTGCTGTGATGCATACTGTATCAGAAGAATTGGTTGGGATGCACGTATTCTGTACGCGCGCCCATATTGGACGGAGTTTGGCATCCTAATCATCAATGCCCCAAAAGATTGCAACAGCCTTGCCAGGCATTCTGTGCGAAGATCCACTTAGTCACGCTTGTGACTACAAGAAGCCTTGAAGAAACATGAAAAAGACACAAAATTAATTCTTTCGAAAGCCATATACTGCTTCATTAGTGCAGAAAAAAAAAAATTTCGACTCATTTCCTACACAAAAAAAAAACTGATATATGTGACAATTTAGGTATACATTTTCTTGAATACCAGTGTCATTTGGCAGGTATTATATACGCTAACTCCCCTGAGAGGCACAAGCGCTCCAGCCTGCTCCGATTATTCAGCCAAAACGTTGCTTTCTTTTTATACGGCTCTTTGTTACATTAGGAGAACGGGCACATTCCAGGATTTTTAATACTTTTATCACTATACATAACAAATGTGTGTTTGTGACAGCTGAAAAAGAAAGTTTGACTTCAGAATCCATGTTGCTGTATTTATCGCTATCCCGAAATTGGGCGCCTCCATCTTAGCTCTCTGTCAATCACCGATATCAGTGCTGTCCTTTGCACCGAGCAGTCATAGAGAGAGGAAGAAAAATCGTTTGGTCACCCCTGTAATAGTGTTTGCAGTAAAACGTGTGGCTGGGGTGAAGATGAAATACATACTAACAACTATTACGGTGCACTTTTACCCCTTAATGGGGAGCTATTCAATATAAGTGGTTTTGGTGTCTGGAGTCCCACGGCACTGGCTCATGGTTCAATGTTAAACCATTATGGAAAGGTTTTCCTTTGGGCACTTTCGGCCTGGCCCCATCTGGAGGTAAGGCAGAGTCACACTTATTCTTAGCCATGCTAACTCATATCAATGATGGACGGTGCTGACAGGCCGAGAGCGGCTGTGATAGGCTATCCCTCACGCACATC